AATTCAGATGACCCAACACTAGAGAAAATACTGAACCACAGCACACGAGATGGAAATGATGCACAGATGAGATAGTCTAGACATCCAATGGGAGTACATTAAGTTACTAAACAAATATGAAACGGCACTTACTACACTTGGTCCATTTAATGAAATATTTGCTCCTAATCAGCATGGGGAGAAACTAATTCTTGCCGTATTTTCTCACCTCCACAGTTTATCTCTTCAAATATCAGTGATAATGAATTGCTTATAAAGAGAAGGCAGGTGGGGGACTGCAATTTGACTGGCAAATGATGTAGCATCCATATTTATATACATATATAAATACACTTTAGACTGGTGAAGGCACAGTGGTTTCTTCTGATATTGTGTAAGGACTATCTACAAAAAAAATGGGCAAAATTACATCACACAGCTGATAACAGTAGTATCAGCCATCTTTAAGCTTCAAATTCGTTTGATCTTTTGACCATTTTCACAGATAATAGTATGTCATAAAGCATCAGAAACCACACAAGCAAGGGACTAATTAACAACTTCAAGTGGTCTGAGATGGCCATCACTATGAGATTTTGGGTGCTAGACTATTCTGCAAATGGACTTACACATACCCCACTGTATAATCTGTTCAGGCATGTACATAGTTAAATCATTATCCATTTTGAGGTCGATCAGGTGTGTTAGAGCAGGGAAGACACATAACTGTGCACCTTTTCAAACTTCGCACTTCCAAGAGTACTTTTTCTTTCTGCATTGCAGCCTATGTGGTTCTCTCACAAAAAGAAAAAAAACAAAAACTTACATACTCTCATTACAACTCTCATTCTCATAAAGCTCACAATGGGATTAGTCATTAGCTATTATGGTGTGTTAGAAAATTATTAATACCCTACCTAAATACTGGTCCACACAACTAAAACAAAAGTGACTGTTACAGTCAGTGTATAACGTTGTATATAAAACTATAGGATTGCTGGCTAGAGCTAGCTACGATGACCTGGTTAGCTAGCTAACGCTAAGTAAAATTCACCAGAAATCGGCTACCGTTAATGCTGCTAAACCCAAATACCAAGCCGGAGCTGATTATAAAATTACTCAAATAGGACGTGTCCAGTCTATTAACATATGTCTTAGGCTAAATCTGAAAACAACAAAAGTAAGAAATGACTCTCCTCACCTGTAGCGGTTAAATGACCGCTGTACTCGCTGAGGTTCAGGTTTGAGGTTCCGTTAAAGTTTGAGCGTCAAATAACCGTTAAGTTTTCCGTTGGATTTTAAATTTGAACTGAGCGTACGCGCGAGCCGCAGCAGCGTATGAGCTCCTGCTGAGCTGGATCGAACACCGATTAAACCGCACTTCACCTTAGAGGGGAATTCCAACCGACTTTTCAAAATTCATGCATAATTTAGTGGTTAATACGTGAAAAAAAGTACTTCGATGAGAAATTTGTAGAAAACTCAGAAACTCGGATTTCTTTACAATGGTGGTGATAGGAACCAGGGGGTCACATTGTCTTTAACACAAATAGCCACTTCATTTACTATCCAAAACCACTAGTTAACGTAGACGTGGATGGTAAAATACGGGGAAATCTGAAAAAGGAGTTTTTTTGGGGAGAGGGACTATTTTGCCCGACAACACCCTTCATGTATCCTTGCACCATGAATAGGTTAAAATAAATTGATTAAAACACATTTTAGGCCAAAAGTTTATCACAAAACTACCTTAAAACAATGTGTCAGACAGCAGGCTGAGTATCCATAACTATTTCATGTAATAACTTTCTGTGAGCTTTAGAGTTGGACGTCTGGATCCTATCACCCCATCATGACTGGATTTTCTCTAAGACGGAGCATTTCACACCAAAACACTCTCAATGATTCTGTTAATAACTTAACCATTTAATTATGTAGAAAATTTGAAAAATCAGTTTTGCCCTTTAACCTCCTTTATCAGATCCCTATAAAGGTAGAGCGTTTCATTTATGTGAGAGTGCGTTGTGGAGGTTTGTGCAAAAAACGTGTGGGTTTACTAGCTTTTTAACTTAGCTACCAAGCTAACCTGTGGTATGCATTTTGGTGCGTTATACAGCAGCTAGGTTATACCTCTGAATATAGCCTATAAATTATCTTTTGTTTTTGTCATGGTCATTCTGTTTATACTAATCAGTCATAATGATTTTTAATATTATTGGATCTTAAGTCATTTCTTTGTCAGGATTGCTCAAAAAGAAATTTGTCCTCTTTCTTCATACATTTGGTGTCAAAACAAACTTGCACAGGACATTAACTCCACTGATTTTTTAATACTTATATGTAAAAGTGCTTTAGCAACTGCTTTCATTAACACTTAGTTTTACGACCAATTTCTTAGCATGCTGGCCTGAAAAACTTACAGTGGTGCTTTATCACTAAATATTCCTGCGCTTCTATCTAAATGTGCATTTACACATCTGTATCATAGCTATGCTAGTGGTGCCTTGTCACATATAGATATGCATAGAACCTGCATTGAGTCTTCAATTAAAGACAGCCAGTAAGTTGTAACATTGAATGAAGTGCACTGTGGAATTAAACATTAGCCAGTGACACTGATGTGGTGGTGGTGTGTTGCGCAGGTTTAAGTGGATCAGACACAGCAGTGCTGCCAGAGTTTTTAAGCATTGTGTCCATTTCCTGTCCACTTTATTAGACATCTTGGACCTTGTTAGTCCACCTTGTAGATGTAGTCAGAGACAGTAGCTCATTTGTTGCTGCACGGTTTGTATTGGTCATCCTCTAGTCCTTCATCAGTGGTCACAGGACACTGCCCACAGGACGCCGCTGGCTGGATATTTTTGGTTGGTGGACTATTCAAAGTCCAACAGTGAAACTGTTTAAAAACTGATCCACCAATGATTTGACAGTGCAGTATTTCTCCAAAACAAAAACCTATGATAATGTTGTTTGGAAAAAGGTGTTTCAATTCAGACAAACATCACAAATCTCAATGGGGCGTATAGCTTGTCAGTTTTCATAAATGAATACATAGTGTTTCTTTCATAAGTGTTTCTAAAACGTCTAGTGAAGTGCTTAGGGCTTGGTGCTGCACTAGCACTGCAACCATAAAAAGTATTGTTTCAGTTGGCCTAAAATATATATATGTTGCCCTAAAAGAGAACATAGCCTCTATGTTCACAGTGAAGGTAGAAGTCTGTTCTGCTGAATAGAGATACTCAGAACAATTACTTGAGCCATGGTTTCAGACACCGTGTAAAAGAGAAGGTCTGGGCCGACAGCATCCAGATCTGTCTGGGCCTGCCTTCCATTGTCAACCACATACACATGCTGCTGTGGGATACAGACACCAGGCAAAACAGTCTTTAAATCAGAACGCCATACATTATCTATGAGCACGAGGGCCGCATGATTCCTTTTTGCAGAGGATGACCCCATATGAGGACCCCTTACTCAGGCTGGCTGATTCTTTCGGCCCCCTACTCAGATAGAGAAACAAGCACCCCATCCATCAATCATAGTGCAGTTCCACTGCAGCAGTGGAACAGAGTCACTGAGGAGAATGGGCACTTGTACCACAGGGCGTTTCCCTCTGCTGGAGGTTAAAGAAATCCACCAGCTGCTCCTACTAATGTCTCTGAAAGAGGAGGTTCAGCAACAGACTGTAATTAACATGCCAACAGTTTCACAATCACATGTAGTCAAGCAAAATATACATATACAAAAATAAAACATCCAGTTCTCTAGCTGCTAGCATGCTCATAATGCTAGCTTTACAGCTTCTGAACAATGCTTATGTTAACTTGGCAAACTCTTTACCTTGTGATGGACTAATTAAAATATCAGTCCAGTTTACATTCCACTGCACCTAATGTTTATGTACTAGTGCTTGGTGGCTATGTCCTTGCTTGAAACAGTAAACAAAAGCTAAATAAGGCAGCTTAGATGAAAGACAGCAAGATGAAAGAAAAGTTCCAACTGAAGCCAGACAGAGCTTGAGCTCAAATACAAGTACTTATTACTGTTATTTCACCCTTTATTGAGTTTACATATGACTCATGATGTGTTTCAGTGAATGTGTTTCTATTTTCTTCCGTTATCAGGAATTAGGAGTCAACTCCAAAACTTTGGCCTTATTCCACACAGTGATGTTCAGGCCTGTCTGAAAAATCCATCCTTCCACAACTTACACATTGATGGTCCAACTGTATTCTACTTCAGACAAAGTGGAAAACAAAGTAGAATGTAACATTTGTAGGGAAAAATTGGCATAAAATCAAACAACATAGTGCATATACAAACCTGAAGGAGTTGACAGAGGAGAATCAGATACAACCTAGCCAGCTCCCGTTAGTTAGACAAGTTAGCTAGGATAGTGCTAGCTCTCAAATTTTTTTCTTTGGTGTCTGTCTAGATGTCTTAGTTTTTGTGTGGAATCATGACTCTAAAATGTCTGGAATCAAACACCCTATTTGTTGGCACTACATTGGTAGTGTTGCTAGGGTATGAGGGTGACATTTAATGGTGTAAAGTGCCACATGCTGCTTGTCTTGGGCGATGCTTGCACATCACATTTCGACAATGGGCATCAGTCAGTCAGTCAGTGACTCAGTAAAAGACAGTATGGCTCATGGTCTGTGCTGCTGGGTGGTCCAACAAACAGAAGACTCTTTTGCTGTATTTTTGAATGAAACTCGTACCAGCACGCTTGTCACAATGCTGGGCTCTTGTGTAAAATATGTAGGTAGGCAGGTCTGGAAACATAATGTAGATTGGATGGAAGGGTCCCCTTGAACTTTCATGACAAGAAATCCCATCTAATGCATACTTTTTTTAACCTCAGAAACATGACTGGATGTCAGATGCTTCGGTTAACATTGTCTTCTTTTTTGGATTTTTCCTTTAATATTTAGATACTTACCACACACACAGGCACACACATGCATGCTCCCAATCACACATCACACTTTATCACTGTAGGTGCACAAAGACAGATAACAGAGGCAGAATATGAGATTTTATTACATTATTCAAAATGTACATGTTTACAAAAGAACATGTGTCACTACATAGGGATTGCACAGACTCCAACATCAGTAACCTCTGACTTATTCAACAATTCACAGAAAACGACCTAAACAAGTCTCTTAGAAAAGTCTTATTGCATTCTGTCTAAAAATATTTCTCAAAATCATTTTTTACTGAACAAAGTGCAACGCTTGAGCAAAAAATTGCACATAATCATGTCCGTCCATGATTCAAAAACAAAACGGAGGCATGTTCTGCTGATTGCATGAACATACTTGTCTAAAAGCAGCAGCATTCGATTTAGCCATTTTGTATTATCACTGCGTAAAGAGCAATCATTCAGGCCTGAATAGGCAAAGAGTAAATGGCATGAGTTATTCTGTGTCCTGTTGGTTTTTATAATGGACAACTGGAAAGGGAAAAAAAAACAGAGTTACAACCTAAACTAAAATCTACAGAGCTGAGTACTGCAAACCTGATGCAATTCAGTACAACAAACACAAAAGAACTAGAAAAAAAGTGTTAAATACAACTAAAATCAATATGGAATAATAAAGAAACCATAAATAGGACCATGCTAAAACTCCAGTATTAGTCAACAATTTCCCAAATGAGAGAGATAATTATATGACATCAGTGTTTTATAGTCAACAAAACATCAAGTTTAAGTGCAACATTGAGAGCTTCATTTACTTCCTCATCTATCTGAAGGACAATTAGTAGAAGACATTTCTCTTGTTTTCAGTAAATTAGCACTGTTAAATGTAGGCTTGGTACATTATGCTCATTTTTAGTGAAATCAACTCATTCTGGAAGGCCACTTGACACTGATGCGTTTTTGTCAGTTATGCCTCATCAAATTCACAACAGGACAGCTATGAATGAGGTAATTGGTAGGTCTCTGTACTGCTGAACACTGAAACTTGACTACTTGATATTAGCTCTTATACCCACTTATACATTGTGCTGTACCCCTGACTGTGACAGTGTTCATACCTTTGGTAAAAAGGGGGCCATCTCTGCTTGACTCAGGCTTTTGAGTCTCGTCAAAAGAAAAACACGATTGTGTTTCATTTAGCAAATAGTTACATTTGAAGCTGCAGTTTAAAAAAATTGACAAAATGTATTAAAATGCTTGGTTGTAGTGTACTTCATAGAGGTTCTTTTGAAAAGAGCTAGAAATGTGCGCTTGCAATAGCAGCAATTCCTAAGTACTGATGCGACACATATTCAGCATTCTGTAGTGTGTATTTGCATATAAAACCACTTCTGAGATACTGTATCCTTAAAAAATGTTAAGAAAATGAAAGAAAAAAGTACTTGCATAGAATAAGACTGTATAATATGCCTTTCATGTAGTTCAGTAATAGCCAGAGAGCCATTACTGAGAACATATATGGCCATTCTTAATTCTGAAGCGCTAAAATACAGATAATATATAAAACCCACTGGAGCATAAAACACTTGGCACATGGGGACAGTTTGGGATAAAAAGCATTAAAAGTGGAGCAAAAGAAAATAAATGACAACATTTAACAAAACACCTTCCTCCAAATAATCTTCAGTGTCTATGGGCAGTCACTTCCATCATAGATGACTGGCTTCTCCGTGGTCAAGTGGTAGTTGACTTTCTTGGAGATAAACCTAGAGATACAATTACAATGATTGTATGAAGGCAGAAGAGACACTGATATATAACCATGTAGGGTGATAAATTCTCTAATAATTATCACAATTATCACAAAAATGCTGTAATATGTGTGGAGCACAGAAACATAAGCACTGACAGGAGTCACCACTAAGTACCTTTTTACTGGAAACTTTGTGCTTAACATGCTTGTGTCCTTGGGGAGCGTACCTGGAGAAGGAATTGTCGAAGATGAGTGAGTAGACTCCAGGGTTCCTGGCTTTCAGCTGACCCTGAATGGTTTCTTTGTGTGCGTTACAGCGAGTCAGGGGGATCAGAACCTAAAGTACAAAACAAGCAATCAGTGTTCACTGCCATCTGTAATGATAAAAGCTCCAGGGAGGGTTCTTTGAGCTCTCTAAAGGTATATGTTTATTAGCTGGACTGGGACTTCCAAAGCACTGTGGAATCAGGTTGCAATATGATAGCTATGAATGCAGTATTTTTATAATGGCATTCAGTTGGATTCTCATAAAAAGCATCAAAGTAGAAATGTTTTTTAAAGCTTCTTTAAAGGTGCAGCATTTAAGATTCAGGGGCATCTATTAGCAAAAATGGAATACATATAATTATTAATGTATAGTAATATGTTTTCATTAATGTATAATCACGTATAATGTCAACTACTTGTGTTTTCATTAGCTTACAATGAGCCCTTAGAGAGCGGGTCCTCTTCCAACATTTTGCGCTGCCATGTTTCTACAAAAGCAGAACGGACGACCAAACATTGGCTCTAGAATGCCTTTTGTGTTTTTATGTTGAATTTGGTGGCACGGTAGCACCAGAATGAAGATGTAGAAAGAAGAAGAAGTATCAGAGGTTGCTGTCTGCTCTGGCTAACCATTTTGTATTGTGACATATTTTGGCTTATGAAGGATTATACTTATTATTTAGCATAAGAAAGAGCAAGGGAGTGAGAATCCTCACTGTCAAAGAAGCAAAAACATGAAGAAGCAAAATGAAATCAGAACAGGATTACGCCAGAAAACCTGACAGCCACCGTAGGTTCTACTACACGCTTGGAAAGTGAGGGGTGAGGGTGGGGTATTCAATTGGTTGCAATCTGCTAGATGCAATTAAATATTACACACTGCTCTTTGAATAAATTTGATAAATTTTGATGACATTTTCTGCTTAGATGCATGGGACCAGTCAAATTATTACCGCACTGGCCCATATTTATTTAAAGAGCATTTAGATCACTCAGCATCACAGCCAAAAAGTGAACTGAGCAGAAAGTAATACATAATAAGCAGTACACTATCCATTACATACAATCAAGCATGATCTAGTGATCATGAGTATTCATAATTGATGTTAAGAAGTCTAATAGCTGTAGCCCTTTTTGTCTGTTAGTTCTTGCAGTAATGCATGTCAGCTGATTTTGATTCTTCAGGCCCTTGCCAGCCCTTTCTCCTCTTTTCTGTGGCCTGAGTGCCATTTATAAACTTTATAGCTGCTTTCTGTCGTCTTAACTGCAGTGAGTCAGATTTTGCAATAATACTGATAGGTCTTCTGGACATGTTCAAAAGCAAGCTCTTGTTTCTTTGTACAACCCACAAATAACACACCAGCGTATTCCAGACACGCCCTAATCACTGTGTGAGCAGGTCTTTCTGAGGAACCTTGTTTCTGTCCATTACAGTAACAAAGTGCAGGCATTTGGAAGCTTTTCTTACAGACTGGTTAATATGAAGGTCACTGCTTGAAGTGTTTTCTAAATGACAGCCCAGATATTTTGCACTATTTACCACCAGAACTTTCTCTCCTTATAGAATTAAAGGGGCTGGTTGTGGGGCATTTTTTGAAGAGCAGATTCAGAGTTATTGATAATCACTGATAATTATTGATAATTAGACAATTTAGCATTTTGGAGTGATTCTTTAAGATACACACTAATAACAGAATTGAGACAGTATTATTAATCTACATCCTCCAAACTGTGAACGCTTATTACTGAATTAACCCTTCTGGAAGATGACCAACAGAAGTCAGCTGTCCGTGTGTGTGTGAGTGTGAGTCACCTTGGCCTGCTCCACAGGCGTGTTGATTGATTCTCTGTAGACGACACTAAAGGAGATGCTCTTTGGCTCGGAAGAGAAGACCCAGCCGACAGTGGGGCTGTGGTCGCCAACGGTAACGGAGATGACACTGTAGCAACTGGACTTGACGAAAAGCTCGCGTGAACCGTCACCAAACTGGGAGATCTCGTCGATGTGCAGTAGCACAGTGGAGCTAAAGAAAGATATTGGAATGCAGTTACCATGACCTTTACCATTTCACCACTAGAGATTGTTGTTATTTGACAATAAGGATGTCTGAACTGTCTTAGTATTTGTTCACGCACTTAGATATTTAAATAGGGTGTACTTTGGAAGAAAAAAAATAATTGTGTGTTGTATGTTTTTCGCTGAGTACTTGATGTAGAACTGCACATAATGTCAGGTCACAAGCTGATATTGTGTCCCAAGTTAAGCAAAATGGTAATATATACAGTAGAACTGTTTATGGTAATTTTTTTAAAAAGATGACATTTGAACAATATAAAGATGTGCAACTCTGCATTATGATTCTGTAGGCAAGCTCACTGTATGTAAAATCTCATAAGCTAAATCTCACAAAGATAAATCACCACTCAGGCACGGATCACCTCTTTTGCTAGCTGCATTCAAAAAATGAATGCTAATTTTTCTGTTTTTGTTTTTTTATTCATAGCAAGCAGAATAGCAAAAATGGTTAAACTGCCTATTCTTAAGTAAGCACATTAACAACAGCAGTAGTAATCAACAGCTGAATAGAGTTACAGCTAGGACTGCAAGATATTGACATAAATGGTGATGTTCGATAAAGCTATCGGATATCACAATGACGATATAAGAAGCAATAAATTACTATTAAAATAATGTGTCTCTGGCCGGATGTAATGCAAGTGCAGACTTTTTTGGGATGTTTAAACAGAAATCTAACTAACCTCTCTTTAAACCCTCTTCAAACAAATACAAAGCAAAATACAAAATGACAAAAATCACCATTTACTATTCTGTAAAATAAAAAGAAATGAAATACTAACAACTTACATCAGAACTACAAGCGCATTTTTTGTGCACTGAAGGGCTGAGAAACAGCATTAACTCAACAACTTTTTCTATATAAGGCTACAAAACCAAATGTATGTATATATATTTATACATAGACTCATAAGAACAAACATATTCTTGTTTCTTTTTTTTGTGCGCAAATATAACAAATTGTGGCATCAGAAAATCTGGGCTGTATTTAGTTTAAAAATAACATTCATGCTTTTGGCTGAGTGTAGTTAGGCACTGTGTTCTTAGTTGGTCTGTGACTTTTATTTTGAAGGACTTTGGGGGACGTAAAGTAGCAAGCTTCAGTAGCCCAGCTGGCTAGCAAAAACAGTAGAGCCTGAGCTAGTTTGTGTGCTGCGTATTATCCCCTTTGCTGCATGCTGTTTTGAGTTGAATTTCCATTAAAGCTCAGTTATGGGCCAACATTTTAAAGTCCCAGCACAGAGCAGCAGGCTTGTAACGGTTTGTGCCGGTAATGTGATGACGTCTCTCTGGCGCTGTATGTATGAGGTAATTAGATCTGTTATGTCATCGCCGCTCTAACGATGCGTGCATCACGGAAACTCATCGCGATAACAACAAAAATATAATTTATTGTGCAGCCCTAGTTACAACTATTAAAGACCCATGAAGGAATGGATTAACAAACATTTAGTACACATTTCAGTTTGGCCCAAAGTGCAGAAGGAGGCTCCACTTCATTTTAGTTAATTTTCACTCATAGGTTACACTAAATTCAGATTCTCTACTCAGACATGATCTGACATAAAGATTGCTAAGCGCATAGATTTTCACTGACTATACGCTGATAAGTGTTAATGGAACTCAAGCACAGACCTGTGAACCGAGAACTTTAGGTCTGTAATCCCTGGCTAATGGATTGCGCATGTATTATGCATATTCTCACGTGATTTCTCCAGATTTGAGGAGGTTAATTTCAGTGTCTTGAACTGTCGAGGGCAGCTCCTCCTGTTCCTCAGCAGTCATGTCACCGAGGGTGCTCCTATGGGAAAACACAGGACTGAATTTGCCAGATCAACTATATCAATGAATCCATTTAGTCCTAATGTGAACTACTGTTACTATTACTTAGAGCAAAGCTAGGTTGTTTTTAAGTATACTTAAGACAGTGTGTCCACTGGTAGTCTAATTTAATTAAGTTCTTTTGTCATTTGACGTATACTGCCGGCTTTAAAATAGATTCATATCTTAAGTGTACACTAGGGGCATTATCTCACAGGTCCCTAGTGGGTCTGCCCTCAGTCTCTCCCTCCTGTGATCCTGCGGTGGTCTGAGAGAGTGAGTCACTGTCATACAGTCCGTTCACCTCCTCCTCAGTGATGATGTCGAATGCTCCATCTTCCTGCTTTGCATTCTCTTCAGTCACTGTATCACAGACAAAAGGGCAGACAGAGAGAGAGAGGAGAGGAAAGAGGAAGAAGGGTGGAGAAAGGAGGAAAGTAGAAGAAAGGGAAAAATAAATCCAGAAGCTCACAGTCAACCAGACTGATCAGTAACATGTTATTGGCTAAAGTATATCGGCTTTATGAATGAATGAATAGTTGTTTGTTTGGACAAACTTATGTATTATGTATGTATCACCAAGCCATTTTATCAACTTTGAAGTATGTATTTATTTGTAAGCATGGCATGTAGCTGCCAGAAGAGCTCAAGACAATTTCTCACACCATCTAAATATGAAATAGGTTTCTTGTTGAAGCAGATTTAAGCTACAGCATTATCTCAGAATGCCCTGATGTCTCGAAGTGTAGTTCAAAGTCAGTGAGGATTCGCCAATAAAAGTACTATAAAGGGAAACAAGGCTAAACGCACATATATGAAACCACCTGAGCCTGTTTACTTGGGTTTATTGGTAAAGCCTTCTTGAAAGGCAGGCAAAGACAGGCATCAAGCAGAATGACACCGAACTCAAGTGTCTCTCCAAATCTTCAGAGACTGAAGGGAGAACTGAATTTTAAATGAAGCTGTGATGACATTTCCAAAGAAAAACTGTTATTGTGGACGTGAATGCACCACTTGTTTTCCAATCTCGCCCCTTATCCAGAGGGGTTATCAAATAAAAAACAGTGCTCCTGCTGCAGGATGGAGCTTTTGTGATGAAGCTGTGTCCTCCCAACAAAAGCTGTTCCCAAAGGAGTCACTGACATTGTGCCCCTTCAAAGAAACTAACATTCACATAAGCAGCTACCCAAACAGAAGACATTACTAAGAAAAAGAATGACAAAAAAGAAAGTATAAGACTGGCCATTGGAGAGTTAGGTTTTACGGACTGTTGAGTCTAAAACTGAGATTGAAAACAAGAGAAGGCAATATGAATGCTTAGTGCACATCATGTTCCATATGTTCCATATGTCTAAAACCACAGAAAAACAAGAAATTTAATTTTTTTTTCCATCAGTGACATTTTCACTACCAATAAATTAATGCAAAGTTAAAATCAGACAATGTGTTCTGAACAATTCCTTACTGCTACCATCCTAACAAAGCTTACAAACGATTTAATAGTTAACTCCTGTGTTAAATAAGACAGGTTAGATAACGGACAAAAATGTGAAGAGCATGAAGTGCACAGTGCTTACAATGGGAGTCACTGTACCTGTAACTCTGGGTGTGGGTTTATATGGTGGCGGTGGGCTGGCCGTGTGTGAGTGTCCTGGTGGTGCTGGAGGTTCTTGTGGGCTGTTGAGTTCAGCACGGGTGAATCTCTCCACTACGGCGCTGTGCTGTGTGTAACACTCTCTGCAGCAGCGCTCCTTCTTCCCCCCGTACTTCGTCATTACAAAATTATTACTGCAGTAGTAGCAGAAAATCCGTCCACACAACCTGACACACAAACATATATTAGACAGCTGATTTTATCAACCAATTATTATAAATATTTCACCTTTACAAAGTGTACAAAAGACCAAAAAAATGTAACCAAGTCAGACAAGTCTTCTGTTATATGTTCACCAAACAGGCAAGTAATTAAAAAGAAGTCTTAAAGGGCTGCTTGTGGGTTTATTAAGATTTCTGAATGAGTCAGTAAAGACCAAGAAGCAGTACATGTTTCCCATGAAGGCTAGATATAGACTCAAATGTTATAATAGTAACACAACTGAGCCAGACAGTGTGGGTGTCAGTGCTGAGTGAATTTATTCCGAGTGGCCACCTGCAGTGATGCCTGCGGAGCCACCAAGTGAACTGGCTCTGGCAACCAAGACAGTGTGTGGCCTCTTTGTCGAGCAGCCACCACTGCTCCTCAGCCCTCAGCTTCTGCTCGAACTCCAGAGCGTCTGACTTCTGCCACAGAGCATCTTTATCCCTGCAGGAGATTTCACACAGGATGATAATGAGAACTCTAATCACTATATGGCATCAGCTATAGAGGAAGATTGTTGTTGTTTTTTAAAGCAATAAAAAGGACAAAACTAAAATGAACACAACTAATTTTTCTCTTACTATATACAGTCATATGCAAAGGTTTGGGTGCCCCTGGTCAAATTACATGTTTTATTGATATTTTAAGTGAAAACAAATTAATACATCCTCTCACTTTATTTGCACCTTTTCACCCTGTTCTTCAATGGTCAGGACTCCCATAGGACCACCACAGAGAAGGTAGGTTGGTGGACTGTTCCCATTACAGCAGTGATACTGAGGTGTTTCAAATCTCCAGCAGCACTGCTAAGTCTGATTCACTTGTACCAGCACAACACACACTAACATTCCACCACCACCTCAGAGCTGAGAATGATCCACCACCCAAATAGTACTTGCTCTGTGGTGGTCCTGTGGGGGTCCTGACCACTGAAGAACAGGGTGAAAGGGGGCTAACAAAGTATGCATAGAAACAGATGGACTACAGTCTGTAACTGCAGAACTACAAAGTGCTCCTGTATGGAAAGTGGAGCTGATAAAATGGACAAAGAGTATACAAAGATGTGTTCCTGATAAAATGCTTGGTGAGTGTGTGTATATATACACTATATGTATAATAAAGTATATTGACAACCCTTCTAATTATTAAGTTCAGGCATTTCAGTCACACTCATTGCTAACAGGTAGATAAAATAGAATAGTAAATAGAGATGCAATCTTGATAGAAACACACTGGCAAGGCCTTGCTAGCTGCAAGTAAGAAAGCAATCACTAGAAAATGGCTGTCTGTTGAACCTCTTCAACTGTTTGACTGGTATGACATTGTTCATGAAATTTATATTATGGAAAAACTAACTTATTCCTTAATAATTCAGATTGGCAAATTCTGTCAGATTTGGTCTAAGTGGCAAGTATTTATAAGACCCCGGCGACCAAAACCTATATAGGTTTTAAGGACCTACTTTTTATTTCCTCTCCTCTTAATTAAAGAACATGTTTCCCCTTTTGTAATGTAAATGTGTGTGTGTATGTGTATTTATTTATTATTTATTTATTTATTCATTCATTTATTTTCTCCCTTTTTTCTTTATAATGATTATGGATCTGGATGGTATTATCAAAATATGCTTACCATAAGAAAAGCAAAGACTAGAAAAAGAGATGGGTGTGTATGTATGTAATTATGTATTTATGCATATATAGGTTTATAAAAGTATACAAACATTGAAAGCAAAGCACCTGAATAGGCCCTTAATGGAACTGTCCTTAGATAACCATAATTGTGGTGCTAATCGATAATTGTAATTTGGTACTTTCTTCTATGTTCTTTTCAAACGACTTTCCCCAATAAAAAGAAAAGAAACACACACTGGCAGTAGAATGGGTCACACTGAAGAGCTCCGTGACTTTAAGCATGGCACTGTCATAGGATACCACCTTTGCCACAAGTCAGTTTGTGAAATTTCTGTCCTGCTAGATCTGCTCCAGGTAACTGTAAGTGCTATTACTGTAAAATGAAAGTATCTTGGAGCAACAACAGCTCAGTTACAAAGCTGTGGTAGTTGGGAGCGTCATGAAATGAGCAGCTACACACAAGCCTACGATCTAAATGCACAATGCCATGTGTTTTTCAGGGTTTGGGCTTGACCCCTTATATCCAGTGAAGGATATTGTTAATGCTACAGCATACAAAGACATTTTAGACAATTCATATGCTTCCAACTTTGTGGCAAAAGTTTCGGGAAGGCCCTTTTCCTGTTCAAGTATGACTGTGCCCCTGTACACAAAGCAAACTCCATAAAGACATGGTTTGATGAATTTGATGCGGAGGAACTCCAGTGGCCTGCACAGAGCCCTGACCTCAACCCCAATGAACACATTTAGGACAAATTGGAACGTTCATTGTAAGCCACGCCTGCTCATTCAACATCAAAGCCTGACCTCACAAAGCTCCTTAGTCTCAATGGGCACAAATCCCCACAGACACACTCCAAAATGTTGTGGAAAGCCATTCCAAAATGATGGAAGCTGTTATACCCTTAAAGTTCCATATTAATCCCCATGGTTTTGAAATGGGATTTTCAACAAGCTCATATGGGTGTCATGTATAGGTGTCCACATACAGTGTGAGTGTCTACAACTGTCTACAAATTGTCTACAACCTTATTTAAAAACAGAACACGAGTAAAAGTGCTCAGAACTGAAGGCGAGATCTGTAGATCAAAGAAACCCCCAAATTATATCAAATGTGCTTAAATATTGGCAATTACATCCACCAAAAATAGTAGTCTTTTGCATAACAGAGTTATAATACTGTCTCAATACCAGGTTCAACTTTTCAGTATTTGGCAGATTAACCTGAAAGTGGTTTTGTTCCAGCTGGTCTGTAAATCATTTCACAGCCAGATTCCTTTAATGAATACAGTTACAACAAGTGCTTAGAAGTGTTTATTACCAACATGTAAAGTTAAGTATGTGTGTTGTATTGTTCAAGCTACATTCCATTTAAATTTCAACACTGTGTGCTGGGAGAGCTTAGAGCTCAACGGAATAAAACTACAGTAGAAGTTTCACTGTTTCTGTCAAAGTAAAATGTTCCACATCCCTTTCTGATAGTTTTGGTTTGTTTACACATATCAAAAGCGAACACTCCACTTTATGCTCTCTAAGTTATTTGAAAAAGCAACTCTGAAAGTCTGGACATAATGTGGTTATCATTCCAGCACAGGATAGACTAGCAAAAAGCAGAAAGAGTAAGAAAAAGAAAATGAAGAGCAGAAGGAAGATGTACAAAGAATACATATCGTTTTAAGTCCATCTTTTCTTTACATTTTCTGTACTTTTCCTCATTATCCAGCAATTTCTCTCTCTGGTTATTTTACTGTCCTCTTTATTTCTCCTTGAGTGATGGAATAAAGCATCAAAAGCCCATGCAGGGTCCACTGCAGGGTGGTTTCCTGAGAGCATAAAAATCTCCCTCATTGTTCCTACCATGATGGGACTCTGATTATTCTGAACCGTATCTGAACATATCTTTCATGCACTCACTAACGAACAGCGTGCTAGCGGCAAACGCGAGCAACAAGCTGAACAATGAGCCCAGTGTGAAGCCTCTTAACAGAGTATTCCGGCAGCATTGCATAGATCTTCTCCCTCACCTGTACATGCACCTCCAGCCAGCATAGATCCCACCTACTCCAGCATATTTCACCTTTCAGACTTGGTTATAGCATTAATATGCTAATGGTATTGTTACACCACTGTGCTGCCATCACTGAGCACTGTTCAAATGTAAGCAATGTTGCTCTTTCCACACAAATGGATTACTGCCATAAACATTCTGTAATATCTAGGGCTGGGCGATAAAACAATAACAGTAATTGTTGTGATATAACCTTCCTCGATAGAAATAAAAGAAATGTTCGATAAACGTTCGATATAATAGACCATTCTCACTCTTCCACGTTCTAGCGACAGCCCTGGTGGCATTTTCTACTGCTAGAAAAGAGAGCGCACTTCCGAGTTTTTCGACATGATTAGAGAGGGAGGGGGCGACGAGTAAAATGAGCCATACTTTAGCAATGTCTGAAACGTGGAGTTATACATTCCCTATTTGAGTGAGTGATCAGCGATCTGTTCTCCTGTGACCGAGTGTGAGTGATGAGATAAGTGGCTTAACTGTACTGGCCTACAGCGAACTCACCCCTATCCTAACATCCTTTAGTGGCGTTAAATCACGTCTGCTCCTCACAACTACAGCGCTCAAACAGTCATAATTTAGTATTAGTGCATTCCCAAGCAACAAAAGTCAAAGAAAGAAGCAGGTTCATGTAAGTTACAGCCCTAATTTAAACAAAAGTAAATTGAGGATGCTGTACGTGAGGCATTGAAGAGTAGGAAAATGCTAGCTTTCCAGGCTAGCTGCTTTTAGCAGCTGGCTAACTTGAAGCAGCACTCCGTCACTCACACAGCACAGCAAATTAATGTTACTCTGGATCAAACAAGACAAAAAAGCGGATGTTGTTTGTCAGGTGCGAGAGAATCACACTGCAGTTAAAGCTTTTACACAGCGAGCATCAGATATATTGCGGTTCTTCCAGTCCTCCAACTACTACGATAGAATAGAGAAATCCAGACATCTCCTAGCTGGTGTTTGAATACTGTGATATGCTCTGACGTGGATGTGGTAGGAGTAATAGATACGAGTAAGGTGGTGTGATCAATCACTGACGTACTGAGCCAGCTAATGTTTGCTGTTCGTATTAAGCTGATGTTGTTGAGAAACTAAACAGTTTAGCACTTGTAACCAGACAGCCTAGCACTCGTCACCAGACAGCTAAAAATAATCTGTTTTCTTACTTAAATTATGAATATTACAAAAATTTTGGCCATGCTTTTCCAGCTGGTAAACAGCTAACCAGAAACTTTCTCCCTCTATACCATGACAGATTTGTGAAATGTTCTGCTGTTTGACAAGTGTTTGTCATGTTCTGACCATAAAGGATAGTTTAAAACAGATTTAACCACTCAGGAGCAAAACTCAGCCTTCAAACTTGAAAGAAATAATGATATGACATTTATTGTGATATGTATCAATATTGACCGATATGAAACTTTTTATTGTGATAACATTTTTGGCCATACCGCTCAGCCCTAATATCCTTTTTTTCCAAAATGTGGCTTGCCTATCTTCTGGCTTCTAACTCAGTAGATAGCTAACTAACTCACTAACTTTTGTTTAACAGACTGAAGATTTTCTATAAGGGGCAGCTATCACCACTCAAGCTTTTGTGCATGCCACTGAAAGACGGGAAACTGATATGAACCCACACAAGCAGGATCTCATTAATGATTATTTGGATGTGGATCCAAATTATGTCGATATGAATTAAAAGATTAAAAACTGTACTAAACATGCCCTACATAAGATTAGAACATAGCTGATACCGCTGCTGTTCACAGATAGGTTGTAGAGATGACCACAGGGGTGCTATGTAAGAGTGGTCCTTCGTATCATTGACACTGTGTATCAAATAAAGCTCTCTAACCAGCAGCTCCTTCTAAAATGTTTTGCAGCAACCCTGTAGCCTCTGTAGACATAATGTGGAATTTATGAAAACCTTTTTGTCCTTCTTCATGTACAGTATTGTTATCAGGTTTCAGTGCTGGAAAGCCCTTTTTAGCTCGTTATCAAGCCTTTCATGAGTTGAGCTGGATGTGTTAAAGCTGTGTAAATAAATCACATGCAGAACTGGAGTTTGATAATTCTCAGTGTAAAAGAATGAGTGAAAGGAATACAGATGAGAAAGAGGTACAGAAGCAAAATAAACAGACAAGACAATCTTTGACACTAAGAAGCTGTCTGGGATGACCAGTGGGGCTGTCGGTGCATTAGCTGAAGGTGTGTGAACTCACTTGATGAGCTCAATCAGCCGCTCCTCCAGAGTGCTCTTGGTGTGGCTGAGGTCGTCGATCTCTGCAGTCATTTTGAGCTGCTGGGCCTGAGCCTCAGACAGAACCTTGTCCAGATTCTCCCTCAGCTCCTCCTGCTCCTTCTGCACCACTCCTAGAGCCTCCTCAGCCCTGTAGCGAGAAGGAGAGAGAAAGAGAGAGAGAGAGAGAGAGAGAGAGAGAAAGACAAAAAGAGAATGTGGGAGAAAGAAATAAAAAAATACAATAAATAGTGAAAGGCAGAGAGAGAGATGGAAAGAATTTGCAAGGAAAAAACTCAAGGGAAAAAAGGGGAAAATGCAAAAGAGAAAGAGTAGAAAGATTAAAACTGCATAAAGAATTAGACTTAGATAATCCATATAAAATGCAAAACAGCTCACTTAAGCATGACAAATATCACTTTTCATAAAACCTTCATACATCAGTATGCAGACACTGCCTTAGTAGGTCATAGACATACACACCGAGGCATAGGGACCCCAGTGGAGACACTTTCTCTGTCTGTGTGTTTCTTCTGCCATAATACATCCAATCCCTTTAATCATACTGCTGAAATGAGATGGACTGAATGAGCTCGCAACACTCATTATTATGTTTTGTTTGGAACTCCATTACCAGTGTCCTGCTGCGTGCAAAAATCCTGCTTTAATTAGACCCAATCTCAGTCTGCAGTCGAGAGCTGGCTGCAGCAAAGCTGACTTTAAAGGAATGGTTCACGAAAATCAAATTTACACCATGCCCCCCTAACCCAAAAGAAGTCAAATGGCCAAAACAAGTTTGGTGTTTGTAGTTTGCTTCTTTAGTTTAACACTGGAGCTACAAGGATAATAACAGCCTACAATGACAACATCTAGCATAGAGGTACCCAGACTTTGTGTCCCATGGCCAAGACAATGTTTGTGGTAGGCTGAGGGTCAAAAAGACAAAACAGTATACAAAAAGAAGGCATGTAGGTTTGATTACACAGTTGATTACACATTACACTAGATTCTGATAATAAAATACTTCCAAATTTTTAAAGGAAAATAAAAATTCATCACCGGGTGAGGGGGTGGGGTTAGAGCAAATTTTTTGTGGGCCAAATCAAATATCCTCTTGGACCAACTTTAACCTGGTCTACTGTAGTAACACAGTACAAGTCCATGGCCTCCTTTCCACTGTAGGGCCGAAGGTTTCAGTAGCATTTTCACACATACATGGTTCGACACGCATCGCTTACAAACCATGCTCAGCATGGTTTTCTCAACACAGTTAGCTACCTGTGCTCAGGGCCACAGAACCGTTCAGTGGGATGACTTAATGATGTAGTTATTTGCTCACTGGTTCTACATTTACATCTGTATTGTGCCACTTCATCCTGTGTTATTTCAATAGCGAAAACAATCAAATCAGAACATTCTGACTGAGGTGTGTGTAAAGGAGGAAAGAGTCTGAGTTTGAGTTGTGTGAGTTTGTTTAATTACCAGGCTTTAAACAATGCCAGTGCTGGTCACCAGCTACTGTAATCACAAACTCTGCTCACATGTGTCCTGTACTGCTCTGCACCCCACTCTACATTTTCTTCATAATTAGGGTTGCAATAAACAATGATTAGAAAAAGTACAAGGAACAAAAATGAAAACCAAAAACAAAGAGTTTCACAGAATGCTGTGGAAAAGAGGATGAAATCGAAGCTGGCTTCTTATTTTTCAGATTCTTATTCAAATTTTCTGTTCCACCTTAAAGGTGTTGTAGTTACATCTGGCACCAGCGCACCATTAAGGTAACTAGTGTATCATTTAAGGTTGAAGTGACACAGTCAAATAAGAAGCTGGTGAATATGAAGCCAACTTTAGCCTTGTGAAAAGAGGAACATGATAATATCCAGCTTCTCCAAAATGAAAACTTGGTTCCTTTTTAAAGAATTGAAAATGAATTTGAAAATGGCCCCTTTTCAAAGAATTACAGCTACAGTAAAGATGGGATGGTTTAATCTTTAGGATGGTTTAATCTCTGCTATATCCCTTTATCATCAACTCTGGTGCTGTCTTGGTTGAAATTAAGCGTTGTCCCGAAATTAAGTGGATCATTACCAAATAGTGCAGTACAAGTTCCATTTCGACTGGTGCTCATAGAAATGTAAATGAAAAAAAAACTCGTCCTAAAGAGCAAAGCTGAATGTCTGGTGTTGGAGTCACAGACAGCTGAAATTAAACCTATTCCACAGTGTTCTAAGCTAAAGCCTGCTAGGCCAAGCTAACGCTACCATAGTTAGCAGGCTAAAGGTGCCACCCACCACACCACACTAGCTTCTGTTTTCCTCTTTTTCCCCTCTGTCTCTTTCTGGTTGATCATGTTTGAGGAGAGTTTGGGAAAGACAGGGAGATTTAATGCATTTGTGTGTGTACAGGACAGTGTATGTGTGCGTGTGTGTGTGTTACCTTGCCACACTGTCTCTCAGCTCCTGTATTTCATTCTCCCGCTGCCGTATCAGGCTCTCGACCTCAGTGATGTGAGAATCTTTCTCCTCCATCAGACGAGAGAAGTCTGAATTCACTCCCTGGAAAAACAGCTCAAATTCAATGTTAGCCTGCATTCAGCATTTCCTACACGCCCTGGCTTTGACTATACTTCACTACACATGTTGATGATGGTTACAATATAAAAAGCCAAAATCTGAAGATACTCTACAGAAGACAAAATACTTGCAAAGGTTCAGTTAACAATAAACAACTGTTCCCTAATACCTTAGCTTTAACATTCAGCTTCAACATTCAACAAAGTGTCTTTTCTGGCATGAAAAGTAGGTTTTGCCTGAATAATGATTTGACAATTTTTATTTCCAAACTATTGTTAAAAGCAAATACTGAAACTCCACAGGTGGTTTAAAGACTGTCAAGGTTTGAGTGCTCATGAGTGCTGACATCACAAGGTATTATTCCTAAGATAATATGGTCACTATTTACATATCATATCGTTTTCCTTAAAACAAACTTGGTTGGTCATTAATGTATAATGTATTGTGAAAAAAAAACACGCAGATTTGTACAAAAACATTGTGTGATGCTGCTTTTTAAAAGTTTGAGCAAATGTTTAATAAACACAGGCTGTAAATTAGTCTTGGTTGCTTATTCTAGACCTTACATCCTTGTTTAGCCTCAAACTGTCAAAAAGTATTTCTCACATTTAATTTTTCTGGTGAGATAACATTTTGTATAAACTTGGTCTCATTAACTTACATTCTTTGTCTAAAACTCCTTCATCCTACTGTAACCTTGTATTTAGAAGGCAGCAATCATGTGCTTTCAGTGGGGAGTACAACAACAATGACTGTGCTCTTTTTTTGTTTTACAAAGCTTCCAAAACATAGAAACGATTATAATGAGGAATAATTACAGTCACGATTATTCAGTAAGAAAATGACATCAGGTACATCTGCTAATGAGGGCTCGATCATTCCCTGCCATCCCCTAATTATCCCTAATTCCTCATCCCCCTGTTGTGGACCTCAAGATGCTCTATGTATTACTTATCAGCCAACTGAATCAACTGGCAATCCAGTGATGAATCATAAGATCAAAAATAGCTGTGAGGTTGTAACTTCGTCTTTTTAGCTTTTTAGATATATTAGCTTATTGCATACATCATCACTACATTACACAAGTATTTACATCAATATGACAAACCAACAGTGTTAATAAATGGATGATTGGGTACAGGTTTTTTGAAGAATTAAGTTAAAGATGGTAGTTTGTACTTTAAACACTGTAATTTCTTTGTCATGGCAAATACAAAGCTGGAGTTTGGGGCCAAACCCACATGCTTTTGTAGCTCACTATAGGATTATATGGCACAAACCATGACCTGGGTAGATGACTAGCGACACACATTTTAACCAGATTTTGGGCAGCAATCTGAGTTAAAGCAGGAAAAAACATTAATGGTGTAATATCCAGGTGATTTCTCTACATTAATTATCAAACTTGTTAAAAGCAGACTTCTAAGGCCTTTTTAAATTAAGCCCGTTTTCCTGCAAGCACCACAGTGCAAAGTTCAGACCTGATGATAGTAGAGTAAGTATGTCTTTAAACACTTCTAACACTGAAGATGCTGGTAAAACTCCAAATAGAGTTTAGATACAGCACAGTCTCCTTGTTACTTGAACACAGTGAAGGGAGGTGAAACATCTACAGACCTCTAAATCTGAAACTTTGGCGTCCAGGCCAGACATCCTCACTTTTTCCGTCGTCAGCTGCGCTTTTAAGCTCTCAAGCTCTTCATTCAAACTCTGGGCAGAGGAACACAAAACAAAAAAGGTTTTTGAGGTAATGTGCTTTATGTGCTTTTCTAACTCTGACAATTTGTCAAAAGATGTTCTTGATGAAATGTCTTTAACATGAGGGATTCAATAATGTACAAACAAAGAAAGAAAAGCTCTCCTTACCTTCACTTGGCTCTGGTGTGCCATGTTTTCTGTGCTCATCTGAAACTTCACAGCTGTTGTCTCCTCCCGTGCTGCCTCCCTTTCACTCTCAGCTTTGTCCAGCAGTTCCTTCAGCTCCAACACCGTCTCTGGAAGCTTCTCCATCTGCTGGAGCTCCTCTTGGAGGCTGGCATTCTCCTGTCGCAGTGCTGCCATGCTGGCATTCAGCCGGTCCGTCTCTCGCTCACCCTGCTCCTCCAGCTCCTGGATTCGAGTGGCCTCAGCCGACCAGTGCTCCCGAGCCTCCTCTCGCTCTGCAGTCAGCCGGCAGATAGTCATTCCCAGCTCCGCCATCTCTGTATTAGCCCTGTGGAGTCCTTCTTTGGTCTCTGCACTTTCCAGCACCAGTCTCTCATTCTGGGTCTTGAGCTCAGATACCTCTTTATGGACTCTGGCTAAGTCGGCCTCTAATTTAGTCCGCGTAGATCTTTCCGTGTTCAGTTGAGATGATATCTCTGCTACATGTTCCTTTGACTGCATTAGTTCACTCACATGGGCTCGATTCTGCTCCTCGACTTGTTTCTTGAGTCCTTCCGTCAGGGTCTGTAGCTCTTCACAAGATGCCTCTTTGACTTCCAGCCTGGCCTGGACTTTTAACTTCTCTTCTATGGCACTGTGCAATTTGGCCTTCATGTCCACCAACTCCTCCTGGAGCCTAGACACCTCTTTCACATTCAGCCCTAACTGTTCCTCTAATACAGCAACTTTTGAAGCCATTTCTTGGGCTTCCTTTGTTTGACAGGCACTTGTCTCTTTCTGAGCCTTCTCCACTGCTTTCCTCTGCACCTCCAGGCTATCCATCATCTCCTTCTGTCTCACAAAGGCTCTCTCTGCCTCAGTCTTTCCAGCCTCTAGTTCTTTCTCCCTTACTTCCAGCTCTTCCACTCTTGCCTGGAGTTGCTCACACAGCCTCTCTCGATCTTCCAGTTGAGAGTCTCGGTCCTTCAGCTGCAAGGAGAGATTTGCTTCGTTGCGTCTTGACGCCCCAAGGCTTTTCTCTAGATCGGCAATCTGGCCATTGATATTGCGCAGCTCATCCTGCATGGCCGTGAGAGCAACTTTGACAGTGCCATGCTCCTCTCTGAGGTCCCTGTTCTCCTGCTCTAACTTGCGGACTAAGCCCTGGGACTCCTCGGCCTGCAACTTTGTTTTTTGAAGCTTCTCGTCCAGCTCACGGTTCTCCTCTCGCATCCGCTGTTCCCGCTCGTCTACTGTCACTTTAGCATCACTGAGCTGCCCTCTGAGCTGCTTTTCAGATGCTCTCAGCCCAGTCATCTCAATCTCTAATGCAGCCTTACTTTCTGCCAGCTCCTTCCTGGTCTCCTCATTCCTCTTGACCGTTTGTAGAAGCTTGCTGTTCACCTCCACAAGCTGGTTGCACTGCACCTTGTAGTCATCAATCTTTTTGGCCTGATCTTTGGTACTGGACTCAAGTTCTATTACATTCCCACTCAGGCTCTGCCTCTCTCCTCTCAGCCGCTCAGTTTCAGCCTCCAGGTGTTTGATCCTCTTGGCACTTGAGAGAAGTTCAGTCTCTTTTGTCCTGATCTGCGCTGTTAAGCTTTGAAGCTTCCCTTCCAGAGTTTCTTTTAGAGAGCTCAACTTCTTTTGCAGCTCTTCTCTCTCCTCAAGGGACCTCTTCTTTTCCTCTGCAGTCTGCTCCTCCATTGTCTCCAGTGAGCACTGAAGGTCTTGCAGCTGTTTCTGGAGGTTGCTGGCCTCCTTTTCTCTCACTGCCAGCGCTCCCTGGAGTTTATCCACTGCATTACGTTGGTCTTCTGCCCGTTTCTTCAGTTTTTCACCCTTTTCTGTTAAAGCCAATATTTTTGTCTCTCCATCCTTCAGGGCTTGCTCTTTCATTCTCAGCTCCTCTGCCAGGCGTTCAGCCTGCATCCTCTTCTCCTCTCCATCAGCTAGCGCATCTATCCTCCCTTTCTCTGCTTCCTTCAGTCCATCCAGCAGCTCGTGGATCTTCTGGGCTGAGTCAAAGTGGCTGGCTGCCCTTTGCCCTTTTTCCTCAAGCACCCCATCCAATTTAGCTATCAACTCCTCATTCTTCCTCTCTGCAGAGACCAGTTTACCCTGAAGTTCCTGATGCGCTGCCTCTCTGATGCTCTCGCGTCCCCTCAGGACATCCAGCTCTTGGGCCAGGCTCCGCTCCCTCTCGCTCAGCGCGTCCAGTTTGAGCTGGAGCTCCTGGTGGTTAGCCTGTGCTGCTAACGAGATGTCCAGCTGCCTCTGGAGTTCGGTCACCACTTCACGGAGCTCCGTGGCCTCTCCACCAAGCTGCTGGATTCGCTCGACAAGCTCTCGCTGCTTCAATTCTGACTGATCCAACTCTAGACGCAACTCATCCACGGCGCTGCTGGTAGAGTCGGACAATGGCTCGGTAAGGTCAGCCAACAGACTTGGCCCTAAGTCTGGACTACAGGGTAACTCGGGGGGTTGCTATCAGAGTAACAGCAGAGATGGGACAGAGTGTAAGATTAGAATAAGGTGGAGTCACATACAAACAAAAGGCTAGAACCAACGCTTTACTTTATCCACATTAGAGGCGGGCAGCAGCTAGTTCCATCTGCTCAGTCACATATACTCAAGTAACATTTTAACAGATTTATGGAAATTTCAAATTAAAGAATCTACGTTTTACAAGTTAGTTGTTAACACTTAGATAAGTTTCTTTTTGTGCGGCAAGTTTCTTTTTTGTGTGTGTTTTTTATATCCCCAATTTTCTCCCCTGTTTAACTGTGACAAATTCTACTCACTAACTAGGTGTTTCCCCTTATCACATGATGCTACCAAGCTGGGAGGGTGACATCTCTTGGACTCCTTCACTGTGCTACGTTGGTAACAGCATCTGTACCACATTGTAATTGGTCATATTTCTCACTTTGGAGCTTTATTATTTTAGATCAAGAGTGCACCAAAAAGAAGAAACATGCCCAAATAACTTCAGTTCCTCTGCTTGACATTTGTTCCACTGCAGTACTGCAGTTTTTTGACCTGGAACTTTTCTACTTCTACTCAAGTTATTTTTTATAAACTTTTACTTGAATCATGGTTGAACTGAAGTAGACACAGAGTATGGGTTTAGGCTTCTCTACCCATCTATTGTGGAATTTCTAATTTTGGATTCCTTCCATCTCAAATTTGACCACAGTTATAAGCTATTTTAATCAGTACTTGATTAAGCTGAAAAAAGAGCACAAAAATCTACAGGCTTGACCATTACAAGTCATGAGAGCCTTCGATGGAATCAGCTTTTGGTTACTACTGCCATCTGCTGGATTTGCATGATAGGAGTAAGCATTTGACATGATGAAGATAACCAATTTAAAAATAGAAATGTATAAATTAATTAAAAGCTAATAATGTATGCATGTCTCTTTACTTTTGTTAGATCATTTTCTCTATTTACTCTTGTTATACTTCCAGTGTGATTATTTGATTATCTGTTTGCACTGTGAATCCTGTTTGAAGGAGGAAGACTTAGCACCTGTGAATATGTGCTGGCCAGGCTGTTAACGCTGGAGCTGCGGCTGGGTGGTTTCCACATGTGACTGGGAGAGTTAGTCAGTCCTAGAGTCCTCCTGTGGCACAGTTCACAGAGCATTATCAGGAACATGAAAAGGGGTGAGAAGTTATGCCAACATGATGCTGGACTATTCATTTTTAATCACATCCAAAATCGTTCCTCACTAATTCGCTCACAAACTAACTGAATCACTCACACTGTTCTGCTTATTATGCTACAACATGATCACAACAATTATGAAAACAAGCCAAAGCATAAAGCAAAACAAAATACAATCCTTCATGAAAAGGAAATTCAGATTGTTTCCTCCTGATTACCTTGCAAACGTGGGCCACGCTGAATCAAGGTCATGACCTCGGGATGCCAGATCAAACTGGACCTCATTGAGCTCGTAGAGATAATTAATAATGTCCACACTTAGATGAGGCTTTAGGAAGGGACTCCGAGCATAATACCAGTCACTGCAGATAAAGAACAGAGAAATGATGGGTACAGAGCTATTAAATTACAGAAGCCCAAGTTTTGACTCTATAAATACTCTTTCAAGGCGCTCACAATTCAGATTCATCTGCTTGGGGAAGGGATCCGAAGACAACCGATGTTACAAATGTTCTTCCACACAATGCATGCGATTACAAATTTTCCAGCAGAGAGGTCTCCAAATCCCCAAAACTTACATAGTGTAGCTTCAACAATACAACTACACGTCATTGTTATCACATAGCACAGCAAAATTTAACGACAGTCATCCCCAGTAATTTTGAGAATAATAACATGAAACTTCTAAGAGGTAAACAATATTCTTTAAGGCAGACTGCCATGGAACTGTTTACCAAACAGGTATCAACCTCAACAGCTGGGGCAAAAACAGTGCAGTGCTGTCCCTCAAGACTAGGGCAGAGTGTTACTTCTAAATAAAGCACTTGGGCCAGAATTTGGACACTGCAATGTAACAAATATAATACACAAGACCAAATACATGAAACACATACTAAACAGGTCCCTTACAGAACATGAACCACAAACACATGCTTGTTTGTTTACACTCCAACACACACACCTATTCTTCAGCAAACACAAAGAAAAGGGCAGCTTCCACTCTTAGTACACCCTCTGACAAAACACGGAACCCAGTTTCAAGAAGTACAACTCAATAAAGGAAGAGAAAGCATCAAGTTCGACTAATGAAAGTGATGGCTAGAGAGAGCGGTTCATTTACAGGAACATGGAACAATGGAATGAACAATAAGCAAGTAAACTTCCTGGCCTGTCAGACACACACAGAACTCAATACACACAGGTGATGACGCACAAAACTGTTAATGTCACTACATGAGTTTTTTTTTTCTGTATGTCTTTAGGTTCAATTTAATTTCTCCAGAACCATCACGCAGGATTGATCTTTTAGGTGCCACCACAATGGGTACCATGGGCAGGATGTTGTAGAACCCTAAATTCATAACTGTCGTTTCAAATTAAAAGCCCTCTGCAGAGTTTTGTAATTGTGATTTCGTGACATTTCATAAAATTCTGAAAGAGTGGTGGCTATAATTTTGGGCTGGCGCTGCAAAATATAGCAGAAACACTGCCAGTACTTCTATATCCAAATTAAGGTGCTGTCTGAAATCGTAATGCAATGTAAAGTATATAAATGTTACAAAGGAGGCTCATTTTGCACAGTTTTAAAGTACCTTCTGGAGCAAAACAGAGAGCCTATGATCAGAGGGAGCCTTCTTTAGTGGAACTTTCCCCAGTTACAGAGAGTTGACACAAAGGTGAATACAGAGATTTTTGAGAGTGTGAGAGAGCGTGGTTACCTGGTGGTCCTCGAATTCAGGAGGCACTGCTGAAGAGTGTCCGCTAGCCGCTGGTGTACCAGAGAGTAACGGATAAATGCTCGGCCTTTCCCCAGCGACGTCTTCAGCTGAGAATGCAAAAGAGAGAAAGAAAACATTAGCGTCCTTCCAAAGGTTTAACCCGAACTTCTCAGGATGACACAGGATGACTATGTTAAACAGAATATTCTTGCATAGAAGCAAAACTACTTTTCAGGAACATTACTTAAGTAGCAGTTTTTTTGTTAATAATTTTAAACTCATATAAAAGCATTTGCTATATTGTTAGCTAGCCAACTGCATTTTTCTCAGACAAATAGATCTACTATTGGTATTCAATGTAAATTCTAACATTTAGAGTTTGGAAAATGCAAATCTCAGGCTCCGAAGTTTATTAAAATTATGGAAGTTGGAAATGAACTGGGCAGAAATACTGGGTAAAAATCCCCAATAAATAAATAAACCAAGGAAGTACAAGTAAGAAACAAACAAAACAACCACACACAGACAGTGACTACAATACACGCAATCTGTTAACCCTGATTTTGTTAACCCTAATTTTTTTTAAAGCTCATGTTTTTTATGTTTTTTCCCACTTGACATAAACACTTAGCTGGTCTAGAATTCATCTAGTCTTCTGTAACAATTTATGTAGACATTTTCAGCAACAGGAAGAAAGTTTTGCCTTTGCTAAGAACTGCAGTCAGCAAAGGACAAGCAGCACAGACGGCAGTTAGTATTTCAAATGCCCTCTTCCCTAATAGAGTCATTCTCATGACAGCATGATATTTCACAAAAATTTTTCTTTGCAAGCATATGAGAAAGAACAGATTATTTCAGCAGGTCCTTTGTATTTCAAACAGTACAAAAGATAATGAAACTGTAACACACAAAGAAAGATGTTTCTGTACCTGATCTCTTTGCATGTGCAATTAAGATGTTTTGCTAAAGAGGCTCATGCAGTCATACTGAATGTATGTTGCAAGGAAAACCCAAAATAAAACATCATGGATCAAACTCCAGGCAAAAACTAGCAGCACAGGACTGACCACCTGTGTGAATAAGTGAATGTGTCCTACCTCAGGAATAGACTTGACAAAGCGAATGCCATCATTGGCTCCCTTGATTTTGGCCAGGCAGTCATTAAAGTAATCCCAGTAATCTTTCCTTGTACCCAGAAATGTAGTCTTCTCCTTCTGATCAAACTGTACAAAAATAACACTGCATTAGTACCATTACATAAATACATGAAATACAACAGTGTTATAAACACATGAAGCGTAAATTGCTTGATCAAGTTCCTCTATCAATATGTCCAAAAACCACAGGATAAAAAAACTGAATGAAAAATCTATGTCAGCAACATCTACTAGGGTTATGGTCAGTTTAGCACTTCAATTCAGTCACGTTTGAATGCGTTAAAAAATCAAATCAAAAACCAAATTTGCCCATAAACGTCCATTTAATCAACTGAATGTAGTGTGAAGAATTTGTCTGTTCAACTGAAAAAGTCAAAAAGTCAACTGGCTTATATGTCAATGTAGAACAAATGCGCAGATCAGAAGAGCTTAAGTAAAAGTCATAGAGGGTGTCAGCACTGTACTGTTTAGTGTTTACTGGGCCCTAGGCTGGCTTTACATTGAAACTTCCATGCAACCTGTTGCCTGCAGCATAATTTCCATGCAACTTGACTTAACTAGTGAACTTAACTGCCACAAGTGAAAGGTTCACCATGTAAAACTAGCTTAAGAGGTAATTATCAAGCCCTGAGATGATAAAATCAACACTAAATTGCTCAGTGCTGTGCCCAACCACATTCCACCCCTTGTAACTGGAGATTAGGCCTACATCGAAGATGATACATTTATTTATCAGCTGACATTGACAGATGATCTGCTGAAGACAGTGATGACACTTCTTCATTTCTTGTAGTGCTCTATGTGTGCATGTGTGTGTGTGTGTGAGAGAATCCTAACCTGTAGCAGGTACTCCAGTTTGTAGGAGAACTTATGTAGGTTAGAGCTGTCATCTGTGACTGGCTCTCCATTCTCCTTGTACTCTTTGGTTATCTCTGCCACAGCATCTGTTAGGCCCGATAGAGGGCACAAGTATAGAAAGAAAAAGGAGAGGTGAAAAATTAGTGCCACAAATATGAACAAGAACATCTGTAGCTTAAAGCAAACAGTAGTAAACATATATTGCAATTATATTAAAGTAGGCATGCCTCTCAAAGGCTTATATGAGTTACCATGCTTTTCTCCCAAAGGGCCTCTACTAATCATTCTCTCTTACAACTTTCTCATTGTTTAACAACACTATCATAAAGTTCTCCCCTCGATCATTACAAAATGACAATGAAAAATGCTAAAATATGACAAAATGTAATTGAAACATTTTGAAAAAAGACTATTCAAAACAAAGTATGCATATATTAGGTACTGCATACATATATATTACTCAGAAATGTAAATGCGGCCTGGGTTGAAAGTTTCAGATCTACACTTACAGCAAAATTTGAATGAGAAATGACATCACATTCATGTTTTAGGTATTGCAATTTTAGGGATTCAAGAGGAGAAGTGGAAACCACAATGATTCAACCCCTGACTCATCTGACACACGCATCCTTTCTACTTCCAGACAGTCAGTCTATCAGCTCTATGCATCCAGTTGTTTCTCCATGGCTGTGCTCCAGCCTCAAGTCTCTCTATCACTAACTCTTTCTCTCTCACCCACTGTAGGGCTGCAGCTATTGATTCCTTCTATAATAAACTAGTTAAAAGCAGCAATATACACTGTCTGTCACATAACAATGGAATTTCACCATCTTCCTCATCCTATCCACCATTAGATTTTTTGTGCTGTCCAGTAAATAGCTTTCTTGTTAAAAAATTATCAAAAGACTGTTTTCTCTTCACGTTTAACCATCTACCAGTATCTCTTCAGAAAGCAGTCCTCTATACATAAGCTTCATAGCAAGTGATGAACAGTTTTAATCTGCACCTGGCTCATCATTTTTTCATTTTGTCACAATTGCTAAGACAATCGAACACATTTTCTGAGTTCAGCTAGTCACCGTGGTCCTAACCCTCTGCCCTAGCTCCGGTGTTTTCCCTCCAGAAGAATCCTCACACGTGCCTCTTATCCATCTCAGGAACTGGAAAGACGCCACCAAAGGCCGAACTGTGAGTCGTGTCTCTGCCTCAGGCTGCATGTCCCAACTCCTCTTTGCTGACCGTCCCAGGACGAGGACAGTGTCTCTTCACCCAGCCGGCCAGGACAGGGCCCCTCTGAGGGAAAGCCACTAAACATGAAAGCAAAGCAAACTAGCTACTGCTGGAGGTGAATCTGCCTGACATTCTCCCTCTCTGTATCTCTCTCGCTCAGTCTCTTTACTCTCCCACTGTGTCCACACAATAGGCCACCCTCTCTCTCTGTGCTACATACATTCATACACAATCACACGCACAGACACACAAGTCCATGTGTACGAGAGCGTGAGCCCCACATGCAGTCTCTCTCTCACACACACACACACACGCACGCACACACACACACACGCACACACACAGTACCATGCAGATCTCTGATAATCCTCTGGAGCTGTCCCTCGCCAGTCGCTGCACCAGTCGCCATAGTCCCACTCGCTCCCTGGCAACCAGGTCAAGGGGTCATGTGTAGTCTGCTGAGTCAGAGAATCACACACATTCAGAGGCAGCAGGGACAAAAGACACACGACCGCACACACACATTCCAGTACATTAGAGATAAAAAAAAAAAATCCACCATTTTTTTTATTTCTGCATAATTAAATAGTTAACATGTAAACAAAGTCACTCCGAGCGGTGTGATGTGAAGTGCTCCGTTCTAGAGACACTTACTGAGTCAGAATTGTCCACAGTGGTGGTGATAGAAACCAGACGTCTAAAGAGGTCAATGTCTCTAGAAGCTGCCATACATGAAATGCTTGCAGATATGCTGCCTGATACAGAGACATTGTTTTACAATCATTCTGAGACAATATTTTGGCCTAAAATTTATTTTATAATGGGGTACTTGGAGAGCAAAAGGCAAAACAATACCCAAAGAAATCGTTACCACTATTTTATCATTATCAATATTACATATAAAAACTCATGTCAGAGTTTTATGTAATAGTGATAATGGGAGAGTCACTGTAGAGTCACTGATTGTGGTTTGTGCTCTAGACATTGCAACCTGTGTTTTCGATCACCACCATTGTGAAGAAATCTGAGTCTGCAAATTTCTTCAGAATGGAGCATTCACATCAAATTACTCTAAATGACTTTGTTTACATCTCAATGAGACGTATTAAGCAGAACACTTGAAAAATAGATTGACTGAGATCATCTAGAATTTCAGCATTCTGAAATTCTGACTATGAGCTTCTGTACTCATAGTTTACACCCTAAAAGCATAATACCTCATCAAACCTCTACGCTGCCAACTAAATACCAAGAGTTTGTCAACCCGTTAAACTCCATGTCCATTCAGTTTTTCATCGCAAGGTTTCTACTACACTATACATTATTCAGTAACTATGAAACTATGTATGTACGTTAGACAGTTATATGAGTTAAGAATGGAAGGCTGTCATCTTTCCTGGGTGTTTTTAAGATGTTAAAACCAATAGGACTGCATCTCTGCACAGTATACAGTTCAGCTACAAAATCTAACAAAAACTTTTGCAGTCAAAGCAGAAATGCTTGATCAGATATCAGATGCACAAAAGTTAAGAAAGGAAAAATTAGATCTCATTTGGTAACAAATGTAGCCTGGGGTATCCCAGAACTGCTTGTAGCACCACATAAGGAAGTAGGTCAAACAATAAAAACAGTAGCCACATGCAGCCTAATGCTAAAATTAGAACGACAAGTATCGCATTTTAGTATCATATCAGAATTATATCATCATACAGGGAACTTGTGCTTTAGGATAATATAGTATATGAGATGTTTGAGCATGCTACTTCATGCTACTTCCGGCTACACCGGAGCCAACTATCTACTGTCTGTGAAAGCAAGAACTGAACAGTTAGAGCAGCGAGAGACTTTACTGTGCAGCACTAGGCTCACTTCACCACACTACTCAATGTGATAACAAAGTTATCTTGTGCACACTGTCCATTCTGATTAACAAAGCTGGAGAGAAAATGGCAATGTGTGGTTTTACCTTAACCATAATGTATATAAAAAGCTACACAATATTATATGTGATGGCAGGAATCTCCTCTGAAAGCCCCCCTCATGTCACAGTAAAAAATTGTTACACAGACAGAATTCAGGTCACTTTTAACCAGCGTTTATGGTCATGCCGGTAATTATGGTAATGGAGGATTTGTCTGTATTTCTTAATTCTATTTTAGTTCCTCACGCTTTGTTTTCATACTTTCCTTTTGCGGGTTTAATTTAAATTTGTCGGTGCTAAATTTGCATTTGTTCACACCTCTCGCTTTCAAGCTTTAGCATTATGTGACCAAAAATATCCTCAAAAGAGAAGAACAGCACTTCAGTTTTTTCAACTAACAGATGCTGAAAGTCCCAATGCAGTTGAATGGAAAACTCGGTAGCCTATTTGAGAACTTTACTCTTACTTAAGTTGGTTTGTGGTAACTACTTTTACTTCAGTGCGGTTTTAGGTTCCAGTCCCCACATCTTTAATCTGAAACAGAATCCTGTAGCCTAACTGTAGGCTACACGGCAATATTCCTCCATAGCTTAAATTCACTCTTACAGCATGTTAAAGGGGAATTCCATGTATTTTTAAAAATTCTGCATAATCAAATATAAAAAAAGATATAAAAAAGATATAAAAAGATATTTAAAAAAGTTTTTAAAACCCAGTCATGGTGGAGGGGTACATGCAGGCTGTTGTGAGGCAAACTAGTCCCCAAACAAGTTATTTTTTAGATTTACCACTGTTTTACCATCATCAACAGTACATATAAAAACTCAGAAGACAGGTACATAGGTGGTTGTGAACAGCAAAATGCCCTACACTGTAGATATTAGTCTTCTGGTTCCTATCAACACCACTGTAAAGATATCCGAGTAGGTAAGTTTCTCTACAATGAACCATTTCACATTAAACCAGTCTTAATGACCTTGTTTACATCTCAGTGTCTGAATTAAGCAGAAATTTTGAAAAACCGGTGGAAGTCCACTTTAACACTATTGATTTGTCTGTGTACTCGAGCGCTGAGGCATGAACTGTAGACAGTACAACAGGCATTACTGTGAAACTGTCACAACATCCCAGAAACCTGATAATGTCGAGCTTTCACGGCCATTTCCACCTAGACCACAAAACAAAAACACACTCACAGGTGTGTAATGACGGAGAAGATACGACATGGGAACTGAAAACCATGCTGAGGTCTTAAGTTGTCAGCCAAAATTTGGCGTTTTTTATGGCCGAGGATGCGACTTTTAACACTTTTATCCCGTATATATACTCTCACTACTCCTTTTTGCAATAAATGCGACTTGGCGGTCTACTCAGTTGCTATTGTTCACATTTTTGGTCTGAAAACTAGCTGTCTATTCAGTTTTTCACACGAGAAAACCAGTTGTTTTTGTTCAGTGTCCAGCCATGTTTAAAAACACTCCAGTCATCCTCGTCTGTTGAACTGTGCTCTGTGTTTGTCAGCAGCTGGAAAGCGAACTAAGTTGCTGTAAACGGGTAATTCGTCAAGTCCATAAAATAACTACACTGCATTTTAGCTTTTATCACAGCTCCTTGTCTTTTAATCTGTCCAAAGTGACCAACGGTACCGAGGACAACAAAGAAAGTTTAACATACTTCTTTAAGGATCCTGAGCGGCCCCCCTTAAAGTTTACATCGGTGAACAAACTTGCTAGTCTGAATGAGCGCTCTGATTGACGTCGGCGCCAGCCAATCAGAATCTTCATCGCGGCGGCCAGCTTAGATATTGACAAGTAAAAACGTCGAGTTCTTGGTTATGAGGGCGTATATTCTTATAGTGTATTAGTGACTCTAAACTCTAAACTCCACTTAAACCAGTTTTCATTCATAAAGAGATACGCAGCCCTCAGGGAAAACCAGAAACTATGGACGCGCTGACTGTTTTCATCCTTTGTCCCGCCCACTTAACGCTCTAAACCAATAGGCAGCGCCATCGGGTTTGGTTGCAGGACACATCATACGACCGCTGAAGACACCAGCGTTACATGCATGTCAGTCACAGGGATAAGCTGAGTGGGAAGCCTAGCTGTGACTAGAGCATTGTGTCTGCTAACTGGGCCTTTACACCTGAATATGAGCATGTAAAACCGTAAAAGCCACAAACTGCCTCATCACTCAGACCCCGGGGACCATAATGAGGATGTAGGCTTCCATTGAACCAAGACACTGTTTCCACTGTAACCACATGAAGCTTTCATGTGAAGCAGGGCAGTCACAAACTACACTGGCTCATGAAATGTTACTTTATTCTATGTCTGATGTTGACAAAGTAGAAAAGCAGCATGCTTATCTGTAGCTGCAGATTTCAGTTTGTACAGTTGAGATTGTTAATAATGGTGCCGAGCTAGATAAACCCATAAGCATTGTTCATTTCCTATTCATTACGTAAACAGGGATCTTTTTCAGGGTTCTAGGACCGTTACAAAGCCAGACTTTGTAGTTCAATACAATTCAATACAAAGTTCAATGCTGTTCGAGGGTCACTGTTAGTATAGGGTGTCCTGGGGTCTCATCATTTCCAAACCAATAAAATTTTGTTTTGATTTTCCAATTCTTTAAAGTTGGAAAAGTTTATATTGATTATACCGAAGACTTGTTAATTTTACTCAATAAAAAGCACTTTATATTTAGTAATTGCAATCAGACAATGAATCAAACACAAGGTATGTAAACCCTCATGCTTATTCCACTGCACTGTGATAGAACTGACACTTTCAGAGAGGGATCCTGTTGTCCCATCTTCAACAATATTTTTAGTTCATCTCATCTTTTTTTAGTTATGAAAGTTTTCCCTTTTGCTTTTGGAGACATTTTTGGAAATTCAGAAATAGACATCATGCATAGAACACACAATAATGTACCATAATTTAAAAACCAACAAAAAATATCACTAAAACTAATATTAATGCTGTTACACATACACTTTAATATTGTGAAATTTTATTAACTAACCGAGCATTTTATCATGGCAGGATTTACAATTTAACTGTAGATCATTGCTGTGCATGCCGTTTTGTTGGTTATTAATAACTCCATCAATCGAAAACGATCATTTTGATGTCACCAATGTCAAAAGCCAAGGTTTAATATCCCCATTAGGATGGATAAGACCGCAGTTTCTAGACATACACAAAACATTGTAATGAAAATTCAAAACTGAAGATTTGAAATTGTGACATATGTTTATAACTTTAAGAAAATGTGTTACTTTGTTATTTAATCATTTATTACACTGATCACTGAAGACGCTCAGGCTGCTTCCAATCAAAGGTAATCTTAAAGCAAATGCCATTGCACTGATGTATTCATAAATCTTTAGACAGAATAACAGATATTGGTTTGCATTGTTTTCATGAAACCTTAGCTGTCATACTAGGGCAACAAAGGGGACCTCATACTGATCATCTTAGAACAGAAGAGGTGGTCACCGCCAGGCCTGAAGGGTTACAGCTCTGACAGCTCTGGACAATTTAGTGCTTTCTCTGCTGTAACAGATCTAACTGACTAATGAAGCATTTGATAATTGATCAAGTGCTTTAGGAATGTTAATAAAACTAAACTGCATTATTGTGGCCCTCTGGGAGTGAGTTTGATACACACAGTTTATGGGTGTTTGTTGTAATTTTGCACCAGAGCACTTGAGTTTACTAAAATATACTAATTGCATTCTTTTCTAAGTGGGTGAGGTTAGTGAAACCAGGTACAGCTGTGAACACTCAGGCTATTGTTGTCTTTGGTTAGTACAAAGACTGTTATATCATGTTTTATACAGTATTTGCATTGTGTAACAAGAAGCATGTTGCAGGTTGGTTCCTGCTGTGTATACACAGAAAACAGTCAAAGGGGTGGAGTTTAGGGGAGGGGACACCTTTACCTTCAGCGTACAAATTCACCCACTTCAGTCTTATTCACCTCAATCTGCTGACAGAAACTTTCTTTTGACATCATTTATTATATTGTTACTATGTGTTGATCTACTAATAAACCTTCAGAATAAAGAATTCTTTTCAATTGAAAAGAAAAAAGTACTTGGTGGTCTATGGTCTAAAGAGTAGCCAGTTTTGGGGACAAAAATGGGTATGTAAAGCTATTTTTTAAACATTAAGCCAAGTTTGATATATACCAGATATTTTGACTTGATTATTAAGCAAGTTATCATTTAAAGCACTGCATTATGTAAATGTACCCATTACATAATCATGATCTTTTTATTTAGGTATAATAAATGTGGCCTAATACTATTTGGAAGTGATCTGTTTGTTGCATGTTTAACAATCCTATTGTTTCTGCTTTCCAGAAACCGATGATGCAAACTCTAATGGTACATATGATTATGATTTAGATAATATATCAGATCCTAACTTTTGTGACAAAGAAACTGTGGCCATGGTTGGATCCATTGCAGTTCCTTTATTCTTTTCCATTGTGGTCGTCTTCAGTCTTGTTGGTAACACACTGGTTCTTGTCATTCTTGGCCTCTACGAGACCCTCAGATCTTTGACCAACATCTTCATCCTCAACTTGGCTGTCTCTGACCTGATGTTCACTCTGGGACTTCCATTTTGGTCCTGTCAGTACATCTGGGGCTGGACCTTTGGTGATGCAGTGTGCAAAGGGGTCAATTTTGTCTTCTCAGCTGGATATTACAGTAGCATTGTGTTGCTGATGCTGATGACCATTCAGCGCTATATAGCAGTGGTCCACCCTCTCTCTGACTGGGAGAGAGGACAGAGGTTTGCAGCTGTTCCCATCCTTGCTTGGGGGGTGAGCTTTGCAGCAGCAATACCAGCCGTACTGTACAGTGAAGTCATGCCTGACCCAGGCGACTCTGACATGCTCTACTGTGAGTTTAACAGCACTAAAGCCAGCTTTAACACTGCATACCAACAGAACATTTTTTTCATTGCTGCCTTTGTGGTCATGGATTTTTGCTACGTAAGAATTCTTCAAACCATCTTCAAGTGCAGAAAAAACAAGAGACACAGGACTATAAGACTGATCTTCTGCATTGTGGCAGTGTTTTTTGTTGGCTGGGCTCCTTATAACATTGTAATATTCCTGCACACCTTAACTGAGCATCAGATGGAGAATTTTACAGTATGTGACGTCTCCACTCATCTTGATTATGCACTTTACGTTTGCCAACTCCTTGCTTTTTCCCACTGCTGTCTCAACCCAGTGTTTTATGTTTTTGTTGGTGTAAAATTTCGGAATCATTTGAAGATGATTCTGCAGAGAATTTTTCGGAAGCCGAGCAACACGGACCCCCATCGACCACGAATTACAACAATTCAGTCTCAGGGCTCCATGTACTGATACTGAGACAGGAATTCTGCAACTCTCAGAATCTGCGTAAATATATGGGGGGCTGTCACTGTCGTTAATTTTGTACTTTTTTTTACTAATTTTGCACTGATTCAATAGCTATTACAAGCTGTCTATTATGTTTCTGGTTCAAATAGATCAAGAAGACCTACAAGAAAACCTCTGATAAAAACAATGCCAAATGCCTGCCAGTTACTCTCCTGTACTGCTTTGTATATAACAAATAAATATGTACATAGATAATGGGCTTAGAGAAAATTGTGATGAAAATAAATCTAAAACGGATAATAAATAGATTTATATATAATGTGTAGATTTATGTGCTATATATGCTTACTGGAGGACTGGATCTGGGACACATTTTCAAAACAACGACAATCATCCTATTACTGACTGTTTCCAAAAACCATCGCAACTCAGATGGACCACAGTGGTTTGAACCATGTTAGTTGGAACCACCTCAGTTTGAACTGCAGTGGTCATGTTAATGGGATTTGCAGCCAATAAACTGCTCAGATTTCTATGAACAGTGATCTAACTAGTGCAGATAAAGTGGAACTTGCTGTATCATGAACGACTACCAAGATTGAGCTTTAATGAAACCTGTGAAAAGTAAAATTACCCAAAATACATATACAATTCTAGGCCACAACCTGGGCTACATAGATTTCGTTCTTGGTTTAATGACTTAAAATACATTTACTTTGCAAACAGATGTGCTTAATGTGTTAATCTATTTAATGTGGTATATTGATGTGAAAGCTGAGTGGCTCCCGGTTGCAAGTTCTTGAAATGTCTGTATAAATAAATATTAGATGTGTGTATGTATACATAGTATATTGTTCATTTTTTCACATATGAGGCAGCAAGTTATGCCATTTCAAACAATATAATTTGGGAAACCTTTTACTCAAAGATTTTACTACATTTCAAGCTACATTTGATAAATTAATATAACCTAATATTGTTTCAGATTTACTATTTCTTTCACTTCCTGTCTTCTGCCCAATGACCGCTGAGATAGGCTCCAGCACCCCCACGACCCAGAAGGATAAGCGGTTTAGAAAGTGTGTGTGTGTATTTCTTTTACTATTCAGTAACTGTCTTAAGCTTAAATATAAGCATTCTCTGTACTTCTCTTCTTGCATTTTTCCTTGCATTTCTCTGGGATCTTGTATTTTCTGAGTTCATCTTTTGCTGAGCTTTTGCTGTTTTTACTGGTCCTGTGCCACTCTCCTGTGAAATACATACAAACTCTTAGTTGGGTCTCATAAACTGCTGTCATTGCTTAGCTTCTGTAATGCTTTAATGACATTTAGAGTAAAAAAAGTAAAATACTAAAAACAAAATTAAAATAAATTCTTTAGTTTCAAGAAGCTGAGCACTAAAATCATTCGAAGAAAATGACTGTAAAGCATTTACTTTACATATTTGGATCATACATTAGTCTTTCTTCATATGGTCATATCAGAACTTTGAGTGTCATGTATCATAACTAGGGCTGAATTAGATTATGTAATTGAATTGTAAAAAAAACAGACATTTAATTGTGAAAATTAATACTTGATTGTGAAAAAAACAGTATTACCACGGCTGCCTGCCTCATGAGATGTCACGTAGGCCTGGGCTGCTGCACTGAATACACTGTCTGACAGACACAATATCACTTGCAACTTAACTCGGCTGCAGAGAGAGTGATTTGCATTCTGAGCAATCTGAACTCCCGTTTGGAAAAACTTCAGAGCAGAACTTAAAGGTCAGTAGATGGAAAAATTGTGGAACCTTGACAAGCTGTGTAAGTACAGTTAGCCTACCATTCCAGCACTAGCAACCTCTGAGCGCTCCAGAGTGAGTCCAAAATTAATGGGTTAAGATGGAGCATTTGAGCAAAATCATAGTTTATAAATGCTTAAACATTTTAAATATGAAAGAATACATTCATTCCCTGAACAGTATAAAACATCTTAACACCGCCTTTTCCTATATATCAAAAAACATGACTGCAAAACACCAGAAAGTGCCCACGAGCGAGTCCTCAATGAATGGGGGTGAATGGAGATAAATGGCTAAAAACGAGAAGTTTAAATAGTTTCTAGTCACTTGCCCAGAACTCTCCTTTAATTTTAGAAAGTAGAAGGATGTATTTCACTAAAAAAAGCAAAGAAAACTTACCTGCATATTTCCTTTTTTCTACAGCAAATGGGTTTGGGGCAGCAAGACGCTAACGTTACAGCTGCTGAGTGCTGATTGGTTGGCGAGAGGAGCCGCTCATTGGCTATTTGTGCTCACTGACGTCATGGATGTACATGATGCGTCGTCTTAAACTCCTACAACTCGAGTTTAAAAGCTCTTAAAAATATAACAGCAGTGTTTAAATGTTTTATGCTATTCAGTGTTCAGGAAATTAATGTACTCTTTTACATTAAAAATGTTTAAGAATTTATAAATTTGAATTAACTAAGATTTTTTAACCCATTAACATTGACATTTTAACCCATTCATTTTGGACTCTAGTGTTTGAGAAAGACAATACAGAGTGGTAATTTTCCTCTCTGGGCACATCTTGAAAACATGCACCCAAATCCAGTCAGTTCCTTTTTTATTGTATAATCCAAGTCAGTTCCTCCTTAGGTTTACTTTCCCCCTGATACAACACGGTCACGGGCGCACGCATTCACGCAGCAGTGAATGGAAAGCACAATGAGTGAAAAATACCTCAATTTATTAATAAAGTTGGTGACGATGTAAGATTTACACCTTTCTTGAACCTTTTTTACTTTCCGTAGTTGCAGTGTTGTTTGGTACTGGTTTCTGCTCAGTGAATGTGCGCGCTCCGTGGTTAATGAAGGGGAGTGTGAATTTGAGGGGCAGCTGAATCAGATGCGACTCTCTTGTTGTATTGATTTGTCCTCGTATGGACAGTATGCGCAAAAACGGATATTTGAATGGTTGGAACCTGAGCTTTTGTCATTGTGGTCATATCTGACAGCCCTAGTCACGAGACAGATGAGAAGCAAGTGTCACGTGATCAGTAGCTTGAGCAGTAGGGTGAGTGAGGCCAGACAGCAGTGCAGTCACCATGTCAGCTGTGTGGAGTTAGTAATACAGCAAACTTGATATCAGTTATAATAGTCTAGAGGTTGAGTGCCTTAAGATGCTGGAAAGGCTACTATTTTTATGTTAATTAAGTTATGGTCTACAATGCAACTCATTTTTTTGCAGTGTCATTGAGGTATAGGCTACATTGAGTGTTGAAACTTTTGCACAAAGTTGCACTTTAAATTTCCTTTTAAATGTTTGAATGGTGCTGACCAATCAAAATGCTCCTAAAAGTTTTGTGTGAAAATAGTTTAAATAAAAAGAAGCAGCAGTTTTGCATAACTGAGTCATGTTGTCTGCTGTGCAGTAATGGTATTTGTTTCACAGTTTGAGCATGATGTTATTTAGATGGGTAAGTTAAGCAAGGTGCATCCAGACAAATGTATTATCAACAGCTTAGTTGTTTAAGTGAGGGGAAAAAAGATGGTATCTAACTGGTATCGGTACAGCAGATATACAAGGTTGCAATAACGGTATCTGTATCTGACACAAAAAGTGGTATCTAGCCTCCCCTAAAAAACATTATTAGGCATCATTCACATACCGTTCTTAGGAATTTCTTCCCGCAGAGAAGAATACAAAGATTCTGACATTCACCAATGTTTTCTTATTTGGGGCTTGTTGTTAGGCAAGAACAGAAGCTACACAAAAAGGTGTGAACAATTCTACTGTTTAACAACATGTGGTGGTTTTTTAGGTTCTGTATGTCTAGTAAAATGAGCTCTGTGTACCCTGTGCCTTCAGTCACAGTGAACTTAGACTGACCCGTAAGATAACAACCAAATACTGTGTAGGATTTCTACAGGTATGATCTCAATAACCAATTATTTTTTTTAATGAATGTCTCTCTAGGCTGGAGACAAAGGGAACCCTTTGAAGTCATAATTTTAATGAGTGCATTCCAAAACTTAAATTTAAGTTTTTTTTTTTGTTTGGTTTTTTTTTGAGCTAATAGTTTAGAAAATGGCCAAGAAAAATGATACAGCTCCTTTCAGACAAAGTTGGACATGACCCAAAATGAATATGCTGATTAGGACTTAATGATAGCCAATAAGGTTGTGTAATTTGAGAATTAATGGTGCCCATAATATACAAAGATAAATAAAAATGGGAGGGGCAAAGGAGGAGAGCAGGTGAACCCCTCCTTTGCCCAGAGGTGTTTAAAAACGTATGTATCTCTTTGTATGTTTCAGTTCCTTCTCGAGAACTAAGATTAATGCTGTTTTTTCTTGTAGAGGGCTTAATCTTAACTAAACTTAGAAAGTGCCACTTATTGATGCTTTGTAATTATTCCATCATTTGAATGTGAATACAGACGACAGTAATGGGACAGCTACACATTACACCTACAGGAAATAGACATATCTACATAGGCATTAATATGGATTTAGTCCCCCCTTGCAGCTGTAACAGCTTCCACTCTTCTGAGAAGCTTTCTACAACATTTTGGAGTGTGTCTGTGGGAGTTTTTGCCCATTTATCCAGAAGAGCATTTGTGGGTTCCGACACTGATGTTGGACGAGAGGGTCTGGCTCACAATCTCCATTCTAGTTCATCCCAAAGGTGTTTGATGGGATGATCCTATGAATAGCACAACGGTTTTAATGCAGCACAGTGGCATTAATGCAGAATCCAGTTGATCTGTGTGGTCATGTATGTGTATAAGGAATATTTTATTGGCTCTTCTAATTAGATTTGTAAACTAGAACTGCCTCTTTATAAAATAAATGTGGTTTGAAATTCTGTTGATCTTATAAATGATATGTTCTGTGCATAATAATGCATCAGCTGTGAGTATTGTAATTGGTAGCCTGAATTTTTTGGTGAAATTTCTTTGTTCTACAGGAAGGATATAAGTAGTGTACAGAACAGTGTTGTAAATCGGACTCATGACCGCACCTGCACTTAAAGTCAGTCACACCATTTTGCGCTTGTGTTTGTGATGAGTGGCTGCTTATTCCTCACATACATGTTGGCTGGAGGTGGTCCACGGCACAGTGGATAATCCATATATTACAAAGCAGCATCACAGTGGTCAGCAGAGCATTTCATTAAGTTCAATTTGATAAACTTTTGATGTTGCCAGCTGTCGTAAAATAAATCGACTTATTTGGGCCCCACAGATGCCAAACATTTCACTGTTGAAATCCAACTGCACCAAGTAGGCCTACACTAAAAGAGTATAGAGACTGACTTTTCCACCTTAAACAAACAATATACACTGCTAAAACTCTCCTCTAATAACCATTCATTTTTGCAAAATGACGCTGTCACCAAGCCAAAGTTGTGAAGTTAGGCGTGGTGAAGTTTTTTTTTTTAAAAGCAACATGTAAACGTGGCTGTCTTTAATCACCAGAGGCCACAATACACAATACAGCTGTTAGGAAATTTGTTTTAGGCTCCAACACATGAAGAATCTACAGTGAGAGCAGCATTCGACCTTGATCATCGTGTGCACCACCAGCAAAACAGCAAAAGAAATGTTTTGGTAGTACAACAATGTTTCAGTTTAATTTTATTTAAAAATATTACAAAATGATTCTATTTTTAAATAAACATTATGTATATTATTACTGAAACAATTAAATAGCTCTATCAATAGCCGAATATCGAGAGTAAAAAATCCAACTAAAAACATAAATGACATTCAAGGGGCTTTCCAAAAACATCCCAGCATAGTGCCGAGGAGGTTGTCTGGAGGTACCAGAAAAACGTCCTCTGTAAACATTTTTCTGTAAACTACCAAAAGAAAAAAAAGACTGATGATCTCACTGTTTTAAGTTTCTGTAAGAGAAAATGCATGAGACATGCAGTATAAGACTTGGGGGAGGGGACTTTCAAGTATATTTAACAGGATTGTTCTGAATTGTTCACTTCAGCCTTGTTGACAGAAAAAGCTGCTTATCTATTTGTATCTTATTTATATTTTCATCTGTTTTAAACCATCAGATTTCTTTTAAATCTATAAGAATACATACTTATTTTACAATTATTCACTTTAGAGGAAGTCATGTACGTTTTTGGAGGTCTGAGATAAAGCATAACAATAACAGGACAAAAAAATGGGTACGTGAAGGCATTTTTCAAATGTTACATCTAGCTTGGTCACTACTGTTTTTTATTTCTTGGATTTAAAGCTAATCATTATTCAAAGCACTGTACTGTATAAATTTATTGACTTAATGTATTTATGATCATTTTCTTCAGACCAATAAATTCCTTTCTTTATGTGTTATCAAATAATACACCATGGAAACAGATGCAGCGCTGGACAAGGCTGAGTACTGATCTGTTCTTTACTGTCTTTTCTTTCCAGAAAGTGATCCTCTGTACGAGTACAGTGACGATTATGATGAAATATGTCACAAAGAAACTGTGGCCAAAGTTGGATCCATTGCAGTTCCTTTGTTCTTTTCCATTGTGGTCGTCTTCAGTCTCATTGGTAACATACTGGTTCTTGTCATTCTTGGCCTCTACGAGAACCTCAGATCACTGACCAACATCTTCATCCTCAACTTGGCTGTCTCTGACCTGATGTTCACTCTGGGACTTCCATTTTGGTCCTCTTACTACATCTGGGCCTGGACCTTTGGTGATGCAGTGTGCAAAGGGGTCAATTTCGTCTTCTCAGCTGGATATTACAGTAGCATTGTGTTCCAGATGCTGATGACCATTCAGCGCTATGCAGCAGTGGTCTATCCTTTGTCTAAATGGGAGGGAGGACAGAGGTTTGCAGTTGTTTCCATCGTTGCCTGGATGGTGAGCTTTTTAGCAGCAATACCAGCCGTGCTGTACAGTGAAGTCATGTCTGACCCAGAAGACCCTAACAAACTTTACTGTGAGTATAACAGCATTAAAACCACTGTTGCCGTTACATATGAACAGAACATTTTTTTTGTAAGTGCTTTTCTAGTAATGGGTTTTTGCTACATCCGAATTCTTCAGACTGTCCTTAAATCCCAAACAAGGAAAAGACACAGGACTATAAGACTCATCTTCTGCATCGTGGCGGTCTTCTTTATCGGCTGGGCTCCTTATAACATTGTGATATTTCTACAGACCTTCACTTACCATCAGATTGACCCTTTTATGGAATGTTATGTCACTGATAATTTAGAATATGCAGATTATGCCTGCAGACTGTTCGCTTTTTCCCACTGCTGTCTCAATCCAGTGTTTTATGTTTTTGTTGGTGTAAAATTCCGAAATCATTTGAAGATGATTGTACAAAAACTTTTCCATGGGCAAAGCAACATGGACCTCCAACGGCCATGAATAGCAGCAGTAATGACGATTTTAAGGGAGCTGGACAGCTACCAATCCAACTGGAAGGCTGGAACTTTGAGAAAACCTCTGAAAACAATGAGAAATGTCAGCTAGTTTCTTGCAAGGCTTTTTGTACATAAATAATATTGTGTAGAAATATTTGGCTTAGAGCCCTGTGATGGACTGGTGACCTGTCCAGGGTGTATCCTGCCTTCTGCCCAATGACAGCTGGGATAGACTCCAGCACCCCACTGTGACCCAGAAGGATAAGCGGATAGAGGATGTGTGTGTGTGTGTGTGTGTGTATTTGGCTTAGAGAAAAAAGAATGATAAAACCTATAATAATCTCTAAAGTACGCTACATAATAAAATGACTCATGAGAACTTTATGTTGTAGCTGTATATACTGCATACATTTTCTTTTTCTTGTGGGCATCTTTACTTCTTAAGACTCTGACACTTCAGACTACAGGAGATAAGATCACTTAGAACATATGGCCCGCATAAATGTTGGCTGGAGGTGGTCCACGGCACAATGGATAATCCATATATTACAAAGCAGCACCACAGTGGTCAGCAGAGCATTTCATTAAGTTCAATTTGATAAATTTTTGATGTTGCCAGCTGTCATAAAATAAATCGACTTATTTGGGCCCCGCAGATGCCAAACATTTCACTGTTGAAATCCAACTGCACCAAGTAGGCCTACTGTACAACAAACACTTAAAGAGTGTAGAGACTGACTTTTCCACCTTAAACAAACAATATACACTGCTAAAACTCTCCTCTAATACCCTTCATTTTTGCAAAATGACGCTGTCACCAAGCCAAAGTTTGCGCGGTGTCATGCCACTGTCTGTCTCATACTGCTATAAGGCGAGTAGAAGCTTTTTTTTTCTTTAACGGCAACATGTAAACGTGGCTGTCTTTAATCACCAGAGGCCACAATACAAAAACTACTGTTAGGAAATTTGTTTTAGGCTCCAACACATGAAGAATCTACAGTGAGAGCAGCATTCGACCTTCATGTTTTGGTAGTACAACAATGTTTGTGTTTAATTTTACTCAGAAATATTACAAAATGTTTCTATTTTTAAATAAACATTATGTATTTTATTACTGAAACAATTAAAGTAGCTCTATCAATAGCTGAATATCGAGAGTAAAAAAATCCAATTAAAAACATAAATGACATTCAAGGGGCTTTCCAAAAGCATCCCAGCACAGTGCCGAGGAGGTTGTCTGGAGGTACCAGAAGAACGTCCTCTATAAACTTTTTATGACCCTACCAAAAGAAAAGAAAAAAAAGACTGATGATCTCACTGTTTTAAGTTCCTGTAAGAGAAAATGCATGAGACATGCAGTATAAGACTTGGGGGAGGGGACTTTCAAGTATATGAACAGGATTGTTCTGAATTATTCACTTCAGCCTTGTTGACAGAAAAAGCTGCTTATCTGTTTGTATCTTATTTATATTTTCATCTGTTTTAAACCATCAGATTTCTTTTAAATCTATAAGAATACATACTTATTTTACAATTATTCACTTTAGAGGAAGTCATGTATGTTTTTGGAGGTCTGAGATAAAGCATAACAATAACAGGACAAAAAAATGGGTACGTGAAGGCATTTTTCAAATGTTACATCTAGCTTGGTCACTACTGTTTTTTATTTCTTGGATTTAAAGCTAATCATTATTCAAAGCACTGTATTGTATAAATTTATTGACTTAATGTATTTATGATCATTTTCTTCAGACCAATAAATTTCTTTCTTTATGTGTTATCAAATAATACACCATGGAAACAGATGCAGCGCTGGGCAAGGCTGAGTACTGATCTGTTCTTTACTGTCTTTTCTTTCCAGAAAGTGATCCTCCATACGAGTACAGTGACGATTATGATGAAATATGTCACAAAGAAACTGTGGCCAAAGTTGGATCCATTGCAGTTCCTTTATTCTTTTCCATTGTGGTCCTCCTCAGTCTCATTGGTAACATACTGGTTCTTGTCATTCTTGGCCTCTACGAGACCCTCAGATCACTGACCAACATCTTCATCCTCAACTTGGCTGTCTCTGACCTGATGTTCACTCTGGGACTTCCATTTTGGTCCTCTTACTACATCTGGGGCTGGACCTTTGGTGATGCAGTGTGCAAAGGGGTCAATTTTGTCTTCTCAGCTGGATATTACAGTAGCATTGTGTTCCTGATGCTGATGACCATTCAGCGCTATGCAGCAGTGGTCTATCCTTTGTCTAAATGGAAGGGAGGACAGAGGTTTGCAGTTGTTCCCATCGTTGCCTGGATGGTGAGCTTTTTAGCAGCAATACCAGCCGTGCTGTACAGTGAAGTCATGTCTGACCCAGAAAACCCTAACAAACTTTACTGTGAGTATAACAGCATGAAAACCACTGTTGCCGTTACATATGAACAGAACGTCATTTTTGTAAGTGCTTTTCTAGTAATGGGTTTTTGCTACTTAAGAATTCTTCAGACTGTCCTCAAGTCCCCAGCAAGGAAAAGACACAGGACTATAAGACTCATCTTCTGCATCGTGGTGGTCTTCTTTATCGGCTGGGCTCCTTATAACATTGTGATATTTCTGCAGACCTTCACTTACCATCAGATTGACCCTTTCACAGAATGTTATGTCACCGATAATTTAGAATATGCAGATTATGCCTGCAGACTGTTTGCTTTTTCCCACTGCTGTCTCAATCCAGTGTTTTATGTTTTTGTTGGTGTAAAATTCCAAAATCATTTGAAGATGATTATACAAAAACTTTTCCATGGGCAAAGCAACATGGACCTCCAACGGCCGCGAAAAGCAGCTCAGAGTTCTCAGGGCTCCATGTACTGATACAGAGACAACCACTGTCAGACTCTTTGCACATATATAAGTGTCTAAGTAAATGTTAGAAATGATCTGAAATGTATTTTTACTTTTAGTGCAATAAATCAATAAGCTCATGTTACAGCAGTAATGACAGCTACAAATCAAACTGGAAGGTTGGAACCTCTGAAAACAATGATAAATGTCAGCTAGTTTCTTGCAATGCTTTTTGTAAATAAATAATTTTGTGCAAAAATATGTGGCTTAGAGAAAACAGGATAATAAAACCTATAATAATCTCTAAAATACGCTACATAGTAAAATGACTCATGAAAACTTTATGTTGTAGCTGTATATACTGCATACATTTTCTTTTTCTTGTGGGCATCTTTACTTCTTAAGACACTGACACTTCAGACCACAGGAGATCAGGTCACTTAGAACATTAGAGAAGTACCAAACCACAGTGGATGACAATAGCTTTCATCTGACATGAGTCAAGAATGCATACCTTATTTACCCCACCCTAAGGGTTCTAATACACGTAAGAACACAGTTCTAGTAAGTAAGTAAGTAAGTAAAGTTTATTTATATAGCGCTTTTTACAACAGGTGTTGTCACAAAGCAGCTTTACAAGGAAATGAGCATTACAAAAAGAAGTCCGGGTCCGAGCCCCCATGAGCAAGCCAGTGGCGACAGTGGCAAGGAAAAACTCCCTAAGAGAAACTGGAAGAAACCTTGAGAGGAACCAGGACTCAGAAGGGGAACCCATCCTCCTCTGGTCGACACCGGATAGTAAACATTGTTAGTATAAAGTATTATAGTACAAAAAACAGGGTAAAACGTGAAGGAAACAATTAATTTGAATAGTTCAGTTCATGCAGCAGAAGCAGCAGCATCAGTGGGGTCAGGTTGTGAGGGTGAGGTTTGCACGGTGAGCAGTGGCACCCGATCAAGGCAGCAGAGGCAGCAGCATCAGCAGCAGGATGGGCAGCTGTTCAACTCGGCAAAAGTAAGAGAGGAAAAACACAGTCAATGGGTGATTGATTAATTTGAATTAGTTTGAATGATTGATTGGTTCAAGTGAATAATTTTGAATAGTTCATGCAGCAACAGCAGTAGTATCAGTGGGGTCAGGTTGTGAGGGTGAGGTTTGCACGGCGTTGAACAGCAGGAGGCTCAATGTTGGTAACCCGGTCCAGAGGGCTGGCGAGCAGTGGCACCCGATCGAGGCAGAAAAGGCAGCAGCATCAGAACGCACAGGATGGGCAGCTGTTCAACTCGGCGAAGAAAAGAAAGGAAAACACACAGAGAGGAAAACACACAGAGTTAGTTCTGTAATGGGTGACCGATCACAAATTACAGTGTTAGCAGAGACTCTGGCAGGTATAGAACTAACAGGGAAAACTAATTACCAAAGGCTTGAATATACAAGTAGGTTTTTAGCCTAGACTTAAAGACTGAGGCTGTGTCTGAGTCCCGAACATTAACAGGAAGACTATTCCAAAGCTGGGGGGCTTTGTATGAGAAAGCTCTCCCCCCTGACGTAACTTTATTAATTCTGGGTACTAATAGTAAGCCAGCACCTTGTGATCTAAGTAGGCGGGATGGTTCATAGTGAGAGAGAAGTTCACTCAGGTACAGCGGGGCGAGTCCGTTTAGTGCTTTATAAGTCAGCAAGAGAATTTTATAATCAATCCGAAATTTTACTGGCAACCAGTGTAAGGCTGATAAAACT